CCCGTTATCCCTGTAAGATGTCTGTTGTAGACCAGAGTTCCACCGTCTAATCCTGGAAGCAACTGGTGGTCAACAGGTGTATGCGTCCCCGAATCTGGTTGCTAGTCCGAACGTAATTCCAGATCCAATTAAAGCTGCCCAGAAGATCAGGTATGGTTCCTCAGTCTCGTGTTGTCTGTCGACTGGTGCGGTGGCTTGTGAGTGCTTTCTTGTAGTATGGATAATGTTGTGATGGCTGGCGCAGGAGGTGTACCAAAGAGGAGTACAGAGGACGTCACTCAGAAGAAGAGAGGGGTGGTGTAATGCTTTGTTTATGTGAATACTTGGCGTTAGGCGGTGACTTTAGGATTTGTCTGGCCCTTGCACATGAGGGCTGACCTTCGGGCCATGTTTAGGCCAATTTGTACTGTCTTCTTCAGAATACATCTATCTAACTGCAGTTACTGACTTCCTACACCAACCAGGAGGTCTCGAGGCGCTACAACATATGCATGTTTTCTGCAGGGTTTATTTATCAAACGGTTAAATTGGATTCTCAATATTTCCCGCTATGGAGAAAATATCAGGTTGGGCTGAATGCGTATAACCAAGGTGTGAAGAAGGAATTGGGCGATGGTATGTCTTAAACACCAGCTTAAGCGCACAAGGGCATGCTGATACCCGAAATTACCGTGGGACATCAGGCGCTTACATGAACAAAGTATTACAGAAAACATTCTATGTATCTTTTTGATTTTATCTCTTTAAGACATCTGCGCTAAAAGCCTACTTTATGGTGGCTATGATTTATTTAAAGATCCTTGCAAACATCGAAAAAACTTGCATTAAGCCTTTGTTTTATTCATCAAGAAGTCGTACTCAGTCTAAATCTACACCTCTGCCAATGGGAACGAGGTTGATGTCGAGTGCAGCGCTAGAGGCGATTCATAAGTTTCATGAATGTTCTGTACGATCTCAAATAGAGGAGGCGAAACTCTTGCACCTTAATTCTTCACTCGTCTATGGTGCTGTAAGACCCTTGAATAGTCCTACTTAAAAATTTTCAACTTATTGCAATCTCTCGGCATTCGTGAATGTAGGGAAGTTGTCTTTTAGGATTATTGTGCCTTAAAAATCAAAGACTTACCCGCTAATTATGGTGTGTCTTTAACCGTGACCTTTCATCTTAAAAGATTTCTGCAGTGCTGACAGGCACTTTGGATACAACTTCAATGTTTCGCATTGTTTTGGGTTTAGGATGAGTTGTCGTTTTTTTGCGGTATGTGCAAATAAGCCTTGTATGCAAAATTGAAAATGTGCTTTGATTAGGCTAGCATGAGTACCGCCGTCGCGGTTGAAAGCCTCTTAAACTATTACGGCCACTTTTTGAACGTTAGCACCACGCTGTGAGCTAGCACGTTCATTGTATGTAATGGTTTATGCTCTCATACCATTGTTGTTGTCTTTCTTTTTAACAACTTATATAAGAAGTGAAATTGAACTTACTATATTTGGCTCTATGAGGGAGCGTTTTAATGAGTAGAGGGTCTCTGTTAGCTATTGCGCCCATTTTTTTAAAATTCACTTGTGTCTCTCGCTATAGATTGAGGCCTCGCGAAAGCGACTAGTCCGGTTTCTGATCAAACTAATTCGAACATGTGTGGCTGAACCACTGCGACACCAGCGCCATTTTCGCATGAAGTACACAGAAGATTTAAATCTCACCTCTCTCGAGGAGTCCCTCGTTTCCACCGCGAACAAAGTGCTTGACATGGCTTCGACGTAGGTACACCTTTCATCCTTTTGAATTCCTTCACTTCCTAGTGATCGGTCTCTACTGGCTGTTCGTCCGATCGCTCGAACATTTTTGGTCACTCTGGCAAGAGTTCAGACCCAAGTTGCTACTGTGGTGGAGCTCACGGCAAAAGAAGGCCGGTACTTGTGTCGAAGACAACCATCCGTCCCAACCACAACGAAGGGCACATTCAGTAGACGTAACTCCTCGCCATCCCAATTGTCGTTCTTCGTTGAAGCTGTCACATCGGAGGTTGATCGTGAGTGATATTTGGGGTAATATTGAAAAGCCTCATATTTAGTAATTCGCTTTATTAACCTAGTTAGTGATTGTCATCTTTGAGTCACATTCTGTCATAGTTGCCACAATCTGCTAAACCTAGTGTTTCTGAGATTTTTATCATCGTTTGTATTCACTACATCTATCTGTTTAACTGTTTCTGAGAACTTTATAATGTGTTTGTAAAGTAAATGATTCTGTTGTCGATGAATAGGGGCAATCTTGGACTCTTCACTATTCTCTGTCACATGGATGGAGGCTGAACCTCTGAAGGTTGAAGTTTAGATTTAAAGTATAATTGTGGCTCATAGCTGTCGTCATATTTTGAGGGTTATCGTCGATGGTCATGGTGGTCGCACTTTTGCTTCAAAGTCACGCGTCTTTTGCAATTACCAATCAATCTTAAGGCTATATCGCTATCATTAGTTGAGGTATACGTCATCTTTCCTTAGGCAAGCTGTATCAGAGACGATGTTCTTGGGATGCACCCCTGAGTGTTGAGTGCCGTTTTGCAGCGAGGTGCATAATGGTGTCCTGAAAAGATACCATTGGGGCCTTAGTCAGTGGTTCGTTGATACTGTCTTGATTTTTCCTCTTTACTAATTAGCATTGCAGACGGCTATTTACTACCACGTTTTGCTATAGGATTATGACTTTGTATCCATACAGTGATGCCTTTAGGGCATCATTGAGCACACGCTGCCAGGACTGGCCTCATTATCAAGTTCACAGAGGGTTTGAGCGACCTGTAACTTGGGTTTGACGCGGGCAGATAAAGGAGAAAGTAGGTTAGCACAGTAACAAAACAAATTAGTTCCATAATCCCATCGTAAATGCTTTTTTGGAGGTAAGCTGTCAGTGTTATTTTGTTATGTTAGAAACGGACGTGGATGCAGGACGTGAACCACGGGATGTAACAAAAGGCCGTTTCCTGCTTCCAACAGCTACCTCCTTGCCTCTGTTACATTCTGATCCTCCAAAAGGGTTCACTGGTTGTGATCGCGACAAAATGGCAAACGAAATGACATCGCTTATTGAACTTCTGATTGAGGTTGACCATGATATGGCCATATTTGAGTTCGCCCTTGTCTCTTCCATCTCACGCCGACTGCGCACGGAAGCGGAGGCCGACTCTGTGCAGGTCGGTTTTTTAATCAGGGTTGATTTGCCCTCAAATTTCATCCAGAATAGATCCTAGCTTAAAATTAGTTGTATAGTGTTGGAAATTCTGACCTAGTCAACGGAATCTTAGTTGGATCGTTCGCTAGATGGAGTGGGAAAGAGGGATGCTTGGGTAGATAGGTGATTGAAAAGTGAGCGTAGCTGCATCGATTTGATGATCGAATGAACGAACAGGTTGATAGATGGACAAGTGTGTGAGAGATGAATGCGTGGAGCAGTTAAAAGTTATCTCCTATTGTTGAGGGCTCTGTTTGATATTTAATTGCATTGATCTTGATAGACATTAACTTATCATCGCCAATGACCAAAACTCATAAAATGGTATTGGTTGTCTTTATCATGTTTTTTGTTAACAACGCGAGATGATTTGTTGCTAGGTCGCCATGATTGTTACCGCTAGTGTCCTCTTAAGACTGAAGTGGGCTCGAAATTCCTGATCGTTTACATGCTCTGTGCTAACCACCTTTTATCATGGGATTCTAATAGTGTTGGGGTAAAGGGGTGTGGTTGGAACTTGTCTGCTTTATGAGGTTATTTCTAGGCTTTTGGAGTTTTTTGTCACAAAACTTACCACCCTAAAACTACTTAAGGAGTTTGATTCTGGTGGTGAATCACTCCAAAGGAGCGAATGTATTGCGCTCAAGAGCGCCTTTCAGTCTTAATGCCGGGGAATTGCGTGTTGCCCTTGATGAATATATTTGAGGGTAACATCGCAATGCGAGTCCTTGACAATGTTGATCGCGAGCACTTTACTTACACTCGAATTGGGTGAGAAGTTGGTGTTGGAGGGCGGGCTAGTAGGTTTTAGGCACGTGCCTTGCACTAGGAAATGGCAAGTAATAACCCTCATAGCCTACCACGACATCTGTTTTAAGAAATCGTACCCAAATCTTGTGCTTAATTGGCGACCAGCAGACTTACGGATCAAAAGTGGACCTTATGAGTTTGTGATCTAATGTTCTCAGGGCGATTGAATGTTTCACTGCTTGACCTTAACAGTGATATTGCCGCTCCAAGCCTCTATAATAACTTTTGTTTAATTTAGAACTGCTCTAAAATGCTTATTTATCCTAAATTTTATTGTTCAAATGGTTGAAAGTTATTGAGCAGAGAAGAATGGATTGTTCGAGGCGGATTCGCATAGACTTCCTCTTCTGGCCGGCATCTTTTCTCGAATTAACTTTAAAATGAGCACTTCCGCCGTATGTACGGAGTTGTGCCCACTGAATTGGTGGGGGGCGGTTGGACTTTGAGCAGGCAGATAGACAGCAGGGTGGTGAAAAGAGGTGGCAAAGCAATCGGACACGATCGTCTTGCTTTACCCACGCCGCTCTACTCCTCAGTCGGCGCGGCCTTCAAAGGGCCATATCACCTGATCAGATGCGTGGCGATGGAAGCAGTCATAGATAAATCATTTGTTATGCGACACCATCTCTTCTAATCTCACTCCCCAATTGCTCTTGTAACTGTCAGTCATTGGTATTTCACCCAATAAGGCGGTTTACCATACAGTGTTTTCTCGCTATGTGTCGGCACATGTCCGTGTTGACTGTGGTCAAGTAGGCTTGCGAATTCCGCTAGTTAAGTAGCCTGCGTCATACGCTCTTTCATCACGTGGTTGTGAATTGTGAGGAGGCGTTCTGTCAAGTAATTGTGCCTGCATGCGTGACTATGCGCGTTGTGTCATTACGCAGCGGCTAACGTCCAACCTTCCTTCGGCGCTGGGCAAAGTATTAAAGCGATTGGTGTCCAATTTGCTCCTCAATTTCCATTCCTATTTCAGTCACTGGGAGATATATCGACATCCTATTTGATGCAAATCTATGGGTGATGGGAAGTTACAGAAGATTAATAGCATTTCAAGGTGTCTGTTGTACTCACGGGGGTTCTCATTTCTCTTATGAACGCCTTTGCTATTGTTCTGCTCTCTCACCCATTATAGCAGCTCATTTTTTTAATCATCATTGCTTTTATGACTTTTGGTGGGCTTTTTGCCTTTTCATCCGTTCACTTTTGATTCTGTGGGGGTGGTCGGTGGTCTGTCAAATCATCAATTCACTGGTTTTCAGCTACGGGAGGCCTTTCGTTGAAGACCAAATCACTTCTGTGCAGTAAAGTGATCCTCGAAACGAGTTTGGTTGTGCAATGAGGAGAGATGTGGTGTGCTGCATTGTTTACATGTTGGTGAGTGTGTGTGTAGCGCCGTGGCGATTGTGACGGTTAGCTCTGCGATCACGTGGTCCTCGTTATTCGAGCATTCGTGTCTTTAATGTTTGTGTTTTGTTAAATTCACCTCACTTTGATCAACAGCTTTGTCAAAGTGTATTTATTTCTCCTAATTCCAAAAGTGGATTATTTTATTGTATTCTGGAGTTCATTGTAACTTGAAGAACCTTCTTTTATCGTCGATTAATCTTCCATTTCGATGGAGTCAGGATTTAGGGGAAATTTAAAGGAGTTGGGAGAACCACTGATCGATGATAGAGAAGAGAAATACCATGAGATTGCTCACTTCATTGTCTTATTCTGTAGGAGGTGGCAGTGCTCTTCTCGGAGACTCTGGAATGGGCACTCTCTGTGGGTCTGATCGATGCTCGCCAGTTGTCGGAACGCGATCCTCTTCTCTTTTTCGCTTTGCCTCGCCTTGCTGTTCTTGTGGGATGTCTCCTCCTGCCTAATTCACCCATCGGACCTAATCGACTCAATGCCGGGTATGAATCCATATCAGCTTTCCTCATTGCCTTTCCTTACTTAAAGTAGTATCTGCCTCCCTTTTCTGCTTCGTTCATCATTGTCGCTCCTTTTGTCGTTGTAAGTGGTCGACCTCGGCTAAATCAGTTCTATCGGATCTAATCCGTATTATGTCAAAGGTCAAAAATGATTTGCACAACAGTTTTTAAAAATGGGAAGATGGTTTGCTAAATTGTTTTGAAAAAGGCTTTGATGAATGGATGGCGGGATTTTTTAAATGGGTACTGATTTAACAACAGACGAGTAGACTTGGCGATTATTTTCGATCACAGTGGTCGTGCACCCTTCATGTTTGCTGAATCAACTCGAGATCTGACCTATCTCTCGCGTCAGCTGGCCGTGCTCCGCGCGGATCAATTGTGGCGTCTAGCCTGTTGGACCTCACCATTTGGTCTCTCTGACTCGGAAGCGCGTTGTGTTGATGCTGCAGCTGCTAATGCTGCCGGAGGTGAAGGAGCGGTGAAAAAGTCCACAATGCAGCCTCGCAGTCTGGTATTTGGGTGGAACACCTACGGTCTTCACTGCATTTACAAGTGCATCGCACGCGTGGCTGGAAATCTGTCGGCCAATCATCCCTCAGAGTACAGAGATATACTGCAGGTCTGTCATTCTATTCAGCTGGCTGTCACTTTGCCTATTCATGCCTCTCTCCACGTTCGACAGTGTCTTGCTCCACCGATCTGTCACTGAAACCCGTTTGTTTAGCCTATCTTTCCATCTCATGCTGTCGCCTCTAGTAACGTTACTAACCTCCCCTGTGTTTAGCTGTTTTAATAAAGTTTAGCAAAAGCCCAGGACTGTTATGCTTCTTTGCAGCAACTTGTGGTTTTAATTTTAGGCCTGTTATTAAGATGTCATTCGATTGGCTAGAAATCTCGGTATTCTTGCATCCTGATTATTTTGGTTTTATCATCTGTTTACTTGTCATCGCTTAGTGGATGAAGATGTATTTGAATTTTACTGTTACCTGTGGGACTTACTAAGTGCGTACAATTGTTTATACACGGAGGCTTATGAACATTAAAGCACAGAGAGGTGAATGGATGTGTACGATGCTATCAGTGCGGTGCTCTCATTGAGCGCTGCATCGCCTCCCTCCTATATCGGTTGAATGGGTTTGGTAGGTATGGCTGACTTCACCACGTCTGCTGTTGCAACTCGTTTCCAAGCCATGGCTTAAACTGATTAAGATAATGATGTAGACACCCAAGGTTTCTCGCCAAACGTCAGATTGGTCCATTTGTGACGGTTTGTCTTTTGGTGCTCGTTTAGTGGATGACCATTGAAGTCCAAATCATTTATTCATTCCTTCGCAGTGAACTGTGATTTGGGTGGGATTCTTCAACAAACAATAGTTGCCGCTTTGACCCCTGAAAGTGCATTTCCCTAGGCGAGTACGCAATCTCGCACGTAGTAGGTGAAACAGAGACGTCTGTGACTTGGGCATGTGTTTCACTACTTTAGGAATGCATGGCTGAGTAAAATGACGATCCTTTTCACTATCTATCATATTTGAAGTGGGTTTATGTTGACTTGAAGACTTCACAATTTCATTTAGGCCATGTTTAAGTGGTTAATAGAGTTTGTTTCTTTTGTGGCAATGCTACTTATCCTCGCGTTGAAATCACTTGGCAAAGTAGAAATGATTTTACAAAACTCATCGCGTAGGTTATGCAACAGTTAAAGACATTTTATGCAAGTATTTTGCTTTTATTGAAGCATATAATCCTGTTGGTTTGCCTTTTGATCCGGCTTACTGACCTTGTGGTGAGATTAGGATGTAGCACTCTGAGACTGTTTTGGAGGCAAAAGAAGAAAAAATGTGTATTTTTTAACGTTAGGTAGTGATTGAGGCTGTTGACATGGCACGGAAGCGAGTTCACCCGGTAAGGTACGATAGCAGAGCATCTGGGCGGCCCCTTTAACAAAATAACAAGTTGAACTAGAAAGCATGATATGTTAAGAAGGGAGCAATTGTTAAAAGTAGTCGTTTAAACTCTCGTCTTCATCTGAGATTTTACAGAAAAGTGGCTGAAAGAACGAAGGCTGGGCTTCCCTAAAATTCCCTCTCTCTTTCCAGCTCGTTTTTTTTTCTACTTTTCTATCTTCAGCTAGCAATAGAACTCAATGATCCCTCCACATCCACACGGCAGAGTGAGTCTCCAGATTCGGAGCACCAGCCTGATTTACAGCCAATTTGTCCACTGGATGATGAAGCAGCAAGGGGGTGCCTACGCGATGGTTGCATCCACAATGTCCGTCTGGCCGATCTCTTTGACTGGCATGCCGTTGTAGCTAGCAAAGCGACTAAACGGCCATTCGCGGATCTCTTTCACCGGCGCATCGATGATGGAACTAATCAGACGACGCCTGAGTTGCACTCTCCAGAAGGTGTCCTTGAAATTGGAGTCGATGTGGCGGCTACCCTGGATAGTGAGGGGAAGGATGGGGACTTTGAAGAACGAACTACCAGTAAAATCACCATTTCTACTCCACATCCTTCGGAGTCTTTTCCAGAAACTGAAAGTAAGACCCCAGCAGATGCCTTTGTGGGTCGGGGGTTAGATCTCGTCATAGGAAATGGTATGGACGCCTGTGTTGAAGGGTTGGAGTCGTTGACATTTGGAGTTAATTTTGGCCAACTGTTGTCGGTGTTGGTAGTGGAATGCTATAATTGGGAGAGCAACATTGAAGATGATAGCTAACTTACGCGATTGCGATTTATTTTTTTCATTAGCCACTTCTCGGTCCATTCTCCTCGCTTTCCTGCGTTCCACACCCATTGAGGATACCATCCCTGGGGATCCACCGAATCCCCTCTACCCTTTGGCGCCATGGCAACCAGATCATTTTATGGGTGTAGGCGACGTCGACACCACTAATGAAAACGACGATTCAGATGCTCTAGATGACACTTCAGAGGACGCAGAGAGTAATGATGTACGCCGGTGGCGCAGCGGAGCTGCCCGAGTCGGCCGAGAGTGCGCTCGATGCAAGGCTCGCTTTCTAGCTCTTTTGCGTCGACGCCACCATTGCCGACGCTGTGGACACATTTTCTGCGCCTCGTGTTGCAGCGAAAAGGCGCCCGTGGCTGCTCTACTCTCTGCTGATGGTTGCCCATCACCTTCGAGCAATGGTAATAGCGGTGGTATTGGTGGTGATGGTGTGAAAATGGTGCGGGTGTGTGTCGAGTGTGCGGAATTCGTGCGGTCAGGGCTGGCAGAGGCGTTGGATCAGGCTGTTATTTCATTCTGAAGTGTGATATTACTCCCAAACTTTCGTGTACAGTGTGATTACGTTTTACTCTCAGCCCCTATCACCTAAATAATTATTTTTCTTCATTCATTTCTGTCGTCTCGTCGACTAGTCAGGCAGTGCACATCAGGAGTAGTACATTGTCGGGTCTAAATAAGCTGCTACACCCTATCCATGCCTCCATCAGCGAGTTGTGGACATAAATAATTGTAGTTAGTCATTATTACAACCGGTGTCAACTTAATCAACGTATTTTTTTCACGGCTTGATTGTTGGACAAGAGTAGTCCTGTCAACCACCATGATCCCATTGGAACAGAAATTGTTGGGTGGAAGACGGTGAAGAAGAGGTTGTGCACATTCATTTGCTGGTTGATCAAGCGTCAGCTCTGGAATCTCGGTCCCAACTTGACGGACTCGGCTTCCTTCCTACTTATTGGGTTGGTAGTAGCATATGGATTGGCAATAACGAGGCTGCGAGAGTCGGTGGCAGATTCACATTAACGTTAATTACATGGCATTTGTGGGAACATCACTCAAGGTACTACCGCACGTTTGGGGTATCCTTAGGCGAAAGTTCAGCATGCTGTTGGTGGGGTAAGTCCCTCTTACACCAGTTCGAAATCCTTAAACTGAGGAAGCTCCTTTCAAAAGTAGATCGTCATTAATCGAAACAAAGCTTATCCGCAAGAACCAACCATTATGCGGTCTGAAAGTCCTTGAAGTATCGTCAAGTCATATTTTGCGAGTAGTTTTTGAACGAAAGCTAGTCTGATTCCAGATCCAATTAAAGCTACTGTAGGAACTGCCCGCCTAGCCTCATGCTCTTGAACCACGGACTTCAAGAGAGAAGTAGTTGCAGTAAAGTTACTAGGTATTGATTACAGGAGGAACGGGAATAGGAGTACAGATGAGGTGTTTTAGCAGGCATCAACCGGAGAGGGATTCCTCACGGTCCCCACGCAAGGGATTCACGTTCCAATTTGATTCCCACCTCCTTCCTGTAAAGGTCTGATATGCAGTATAGCTACTATAAAGCTTTGGTGAAATCAATAAATCCGATAGAAGCTATTGAACGGCGAGGCTGCTCCATGGGCACCTCCTTGCAGTACAAAAATATTGTGATAATCGATGGGGAGGTGATACTGACAGGCGCGCCATAAATGTGGTTCCGAGGAGGAGAATAGCAACGTGATACTTGATTAATTTGATTGCTTGTGTGGCTAGAAGTCAGATTTTGTTTATTTTGTTCTTGTTTGAGCAGGTTAAACGACAAGCCGAGCTAAGGCATTAATTACCCCTCCGCCAAGCTTTATGCGTTTTCGGTAATCATAACCGGTCCTCCTAAATAGCAAGATTTATCCAGTTTCGAGGCGGCGGTTGTAATGCTTTGTTTATGTAGCCGCATGACGTTTGGAGATCACTGTAGGATTTGTCAGGCTCTTGTACACGTGGGCTGGCCTTCGGGCCATGTCCAGGCTCATTTGCCCTGTCTTCTTCGGAGTGCGCTTACTGACTTCTTATACCGGCTAGGAAATATCGCAGCGCTACACTGCTGGCAGCGGAAAGCGAACCCGACATTTTCCTTTTAACGAATTTCAGCCGAGGTGGTCTCTCTCTCTGCGGCTTGTTCTTCGTCGGTCGTTTGTTATCACCGACATAGTGTCCGGGAGAACCTATTGCCCAATAGACACAGCTGTCTTACTGACATCCTACGTTTGTGTTGCTAAACTTGGCCAATTAGTCGACTGATTTCCGGAAAAGACCAGTACGAACCAGCCGACGAGCAATGGTTCGATCGGATGATGCAATGCTTCAGTACCTGTAAATCGCACAGGATCTTGAGATGTATGTCGCTTACTGTTGTTGGTGATGATGATGATGATGCTCTGGATTTGAGCATCCATGAGTCTGATAATTTGTTGAACCCCAAAAACCGTTTCCCTTGGTCGGAAAATCGAAACCTCTCTTTTCACGACAAGAAGGTTATAATCCAACCAGCAGCCAAGACTGCAAAGGAATTCTACATCCACCCTTAATAAGGGCATTTTGGCGTTGTGTATTGGCAATCATGAGCTATGCATGCGCAGAAGGAATTCTGAATCTACCGAAGTGCAGTAGATGAAGGTAAAGGCGAAAAGGAGACGTGAGTTGGAGGAGGTGCATTGACCTTGGTGACGGAGAATCTCTGAATCCTTCGAATCTCTGAATCCTTCACAACGAAATGATTTAGACGGACGTCTGCACTTGGTTTCACCTTCTTCCCGTGTTCCACAGACGAATTATTAACAACTGAAGCGACACCACCGTGAACTATCTGGAGAAGTTTCATGTCGAAAATTCGCATACGAAATCCTTGTTTAGCTGTCGGAAATGACACTGCGGTTCTCCTCGCATAGGGGACAATGGCTCGCCCCGTTATCCCTGTAAGATGTCTGTTGTAGACCAGAGTTCCACCGTCTAATCCTGGAAGCAATTGGTGGTCAACAGGTGTATGTATGCGACCCCGAATCTGGTTGCTAGTCCGAATGTAACTCCAGATCCAATTAAAGCTGCCCAGAAGACCAGGTACGGTTCCTCAGTCTCGTGTTGTCTGTCGACTGGTGCGGTGGCTTGTGAGTGCTTTCTTGTAGTATGGATAATGTTGTGATGGCTGGCGCAGGAGGTGTACCAAAGAGGAGTACAGAGGACGTCACTCAGAAGAAGAGAGGGGTGGTGTAATGCTTTGTTTATGTGAATACCTGGCGTTAGGCGGTGACTTTAGGATTTGTCTGGCCCTTGCACACGAGGGTTGACCTTCGGGCCATGCTTAGGCCAACTTGTCCTGTCGTCTTCAGAATACAGAACTGCAGTTACTGACTTCCTACAGCAACCAGATGGTCTTGGAACGCAACAAAGTGATGCGCGAAGTATATAAAAGACTTTGGAGAGTGCTAACGGAGTTTAATTGGTATAAAATCACCAATAGAAATCAAAATATTTTTGCTAGTGCACTAAGCCTGTAGGAAACCTAGTGGACATAAGAAACAAAAGGCTCTAACAATAATGCAAGCAAATTTTAGATTAATTATTTTAATAAATGAGGCTTTTTCAATCGAGTTTATACTTATCAAACAGTGACCTTTTTTCGGAGAAATCAGACTTAAATGGTAATGCGACAACTACGTTCTGTTGGAAATTTATTATTGGATCAATTTGCAAGCATTGATTATGGACATAAACTTTAGGCAAACACCTTCCTTCCAATGTTTTGTTTATTTCGACAATATGATTAATCTATTTAAGCGCCGCGCTTTAATTGTTATAGTAACCACTGACGTAAACACTTGACGCCATAGTGAGCGCCATAGTCACGGTAGCTGTTGGCGACTGTAACCCATCAACTGAGGTGATTATTTGTTTCGTTTCCAATGCAACAGTATCGTGCCCCTTAGAATAGCTTTAGCGATATAGGTTTTGCATTTATTTCAAAAGTATTTTGATTCACTCTTATTTCATGTAATTTTGTACGCCGTAACTATGGTAAACAAACTGACGGTCAATTTAATGAATTAACTTCAACTTAGCTTTAGGAGCGTAGACAGTCTACCTACATTTGTTCGGGGTTAAAGAAAAGCCAAAACTCAGTATAACGCTATTTAGTACCTCTCGTCTCTGATTTTCCTTTTCATTATTCAGTTTTTGTGCCATGCGTACACTGAAGCTTATGTGCGCTTAATGTCAGTTGCACTGTCTAGTTGCCTGCAGGGTCAATTCTCAAGTTATGCTATTATTATTGCCTTTGACTGCTTTTTTCTGCAAACATGAAAGAGGTTACTATCTTGATAAGGCATTTTGGCATCCCTGCGTATAAAATCTAAGTTTCCTTGCGTGAACTATTGTTTTTCCCTTTTAAATTGATTCGGTTTACTGCGTTCCATGTCCGCTTTTCTCTGCGCCGCGGTTTTCGTTATTCGTTCGATTCTGCTTCTTTTAAGGCTTTCACAAACAGATTCCTTGACTCAAGTGCGCCATGCAACCGGGCTCCAGCCAGGGAGCGACTGTTATTCAGGTATCGAAAAATCCCGTGACCACCCACACTATCATCCAACAGAACAGCCAACATCTCCTTGTCGGTAAGCTAGGTGCCACTGCGTCTGCAACGGCAGCTGCGGCTGGCGCTACCGACGCTTCTAGTTTGGTGACCGATTCTACCACCAATGGAGCTGTTCAGACCCTCCTTCCAACTCAGTACATCGAGACAGCAACTGAACAGACTGTCTACGCTGCCACCGCTGTCAGTGGCGGAGGCGTTGCCGGTGGTGGCGGCGGCAGTGCAAGTGGCACCAGTACTGGCGGAGCTAGTGGTGGAGGCGGTTCAGGTCAAGTGTAAGTAGCTTCTCCTTTTTTGAGTTATTGGAATGGCCCCTTTTACTCTCGTCGAAACCATTTCGTGTGCTCCAGCGGCTTCCTGACTCTGAATAGAGGCGACACTCAACTTCGCCGGCTCTACTCCCATGCCTCTGCCGTACCCAAGATTTGTTATGAGTAAATGATCTCGCAATATGTTTCGCTTGCTCTACTTGTTTCCATTTTCCTGCTGCCGCACCACTACCGGCATTTGGACTTGCACAAATTTTGTCAACACAATTCGTCACTTGTAAATTTTGGGGTCCTTTTTTAGGCAGTACCAGGAGTATGCACCGATTATCTACACTCCTGTATGTGGCAGCCAAACTTACTACCAAACTGTTGGTGGGCAGGTGAGAATTTGTGCTTTTGGAGATTTTAATTTTTTTGCCATCAGTGCATAAATAGCTGTTTCTCGGGGAAATAGGCGTGATGTACACTCCCTCCACCGCCGAATTACTTGCCACAGTTACGTTGTTCCGGACAGTAAAAGTTTTGTAATCTCGATTGCTTTATTTTGTCGATCTTTCATTTGAGTTTGTTCGTTCTTACTAGTGTTGGTTATATTGGTGATTTTAAATGTAGGTACAAGCTTGCAACTTTGCTCAAATATATGCGGCTACCACAAGTCAGCAAGGTGCACCTCTTCCACCGAGAAATCTTCATAATTTTATGTTTTTATGCCGTCACTGAAATTGAGTAAGGGAAGGGCGTTACCTTTCTTACATCATGTAATGCTTGCCAATTACTGTCCTTAATTGGTTTTCTCATGCAACAAACAGTTAACGCCCTTCCGATATATCCCATTATACCATGGGCACGGCGTCCACGAAAGAACTTTGCCCTCTGCCCCGGGTGAAAGTTGGCATAAATTCGTACTCACCGGTTTGCCGAAGGTTGCAAGTGAAGCATTTCCTTGTGCAAACAACAAAAGGTCCCGGCATAAATGGAAGTAGCGACGTATTTTAACATGGCGCTTTGTTTTATACTCTTCTCATTTCCGTTCAAGTGCTGTAGCCAAAATTAGCTTGATACATATTCGCAATGGAGGCCTTTCAAAAGAAGTCACCATATTAATTCACCCGCTATTCTACTTGTTTCTTCCCTTCATTGCCAATTACAAAACCTTAATACTTGTCTGTTTTTTGCCGTGCCTAAACGTAACAACGACCATTTTCATTTGCAGACATTCTCTGTTGTACGTTTGGTGTTGATGACGAAAGTGTTGAAAAAATGGAGTAAATTGTGTTTCCTCCCTCCTCAAGGCTTGAGCTTAATTTTATTTCGTTTGCTTCGGTACCGGGTTGCTCTTGTTCAGGTTGATTTTACTCTACCAGGAGACAAGTAAGGTTTGGTGAAGCATCAAAGTGGCATGAATGCTAGGCTCCTCAGCTAATTGACTTATAAGGTTATCAGATAATTATGGCCATTGCTGATATGACTAACCAACGGATCTTACCTTCGCCGCATTAATGCATTGAACATCCACCGCCTCTCCGCGTCATTCTAGTGCCATATTTATTCATCCCACCGCATTTTCTGGTTCATTGATGTCAACGAAGGCTACACAAGACAAAGGTGCAGTCATTGGCTTAATTGGTGATTCAATTTGCTATAGAATAATTCAATCCATTCATTTATCGGCGATGTTCTTTCTTTGACGGCGAACCTGTTAAAGATTTTGCTTCAAGGTCTTTTAGCAAGTTCATGAAAACCGCTCTGCTATGATAAGATTATGCTACTGGATGTTGGTATTAAAGTGATTGCGGCATAGATGCGCAATTACCTGTTTACCAGTGGAATATCCTGTTCGGCTGACGTGTGAAACAGAAAACGTTTTTTTCTCAGCTTAGCATCAATGGTTTCGCCTGAATTGCTGTGTAGCTACAATGGTGGCAGTGTAATTCGATGTAGTTTGTCGGAATAGCACTATGTTTGATCCTCGCCACCTTTTCATTGTCTCATTTTTAAAGCTGAGGTTTGCTTGGGAACCCAACTTGAAGTTCTTTTCACTATGTAACTGGGTGGCCACTAGTGTTTATTGCATTACTGGATAAATTTTGATAAGTAGTCTTGGCGAAATTTTTGTATTTTAGCAAGATGATAAGAGAAGAGAAAATTGCTTTAAACCCACTCAAATTCCCCTGCAGGTTCTTGCTAGTTCGGGCTTCGGAGGAGCTGGCGGATCTATTGTCGGTGCTGCGGCTGCAGCGGCCGCTGCTGGTGTTAGTGGTGGTGGCGGAGGAGCCACACAAATTGTCACTCACCAGGGCACAACCTACATCCTCCAAAGTGCCACTGGACCACTTGAAGAAGATGCTACTGCCCTGTCCCACACCGCCAAGGCCAGTCCTGTCACTGTGAGTCGCCTTTCTCCATTTTGTATCAATCTTCCATCTTTGTAGCTGGTTTCCACCCTCGTTTTGTTCTTAATACACAGGTTCAGTGGCTATTAGAAAACTATGAGACAGCCGAAGGTGTGAGTCTGCCTCGAAGTACGCTCTATTTCCACTACCTACAACATTGTCATGAGAACAAGCTAGAACCTATGAATCCTGCTTCCTTTGGCAAGCTTATCCGTTCTGTCTTTCTGGGACTGCGCACCCGCCGCCTGGGGACTCGGGGTAACAGCAAGTACCATTACTACGGTATTCGAATCAAGCCCTCCTCGCAGTTAAACCACTATGTGGAGGACCCAGCCTTTGCCTTGCGTCATTACCCAAACTACCATCGGCAGAGCATGGAAGTTGTGGCAGAGTGGAAGAGTCTCACTGGCAAATCCACAGCTGCCTCGGCAGCCTCTAGTGCTGTTAACGCCAATTCCTCTTCTGGTGTTTCGGGAGGAGTGAGACAGAGTTCTGCTTCTGTTAGTGGCAACGGTGGCGCCTTCGGGGATAGTACTGTCAGTGGCGGTGGTAGTAGTTTGGGGAGTACACGGACGCCCTGTGTTGTCAGTGGTCAAACCAGACACCAGCATGCGCAGTTTTTGGGTGAAGCAACCTCAGCCCTTCCAAACTTGAACGAGATCTGCCGTTCAGCTGGACTACCCATTCCTGGTGAGTGAATCCTGGCAAAAATCTCTGCCTGGGAAGATGACTCATCAATTCTTTCTCCAGGCTCAGAAGATGTAGACTTGTCTCCGCGCGTTCGAAACGCTTCGGGATCCTCCATACCCTCTGTGAAGAAAGGACCGTCGTCGACAGCAGCGGGAACATCCGGTTCGACATCGGGAGGAGGAGGAGGAGCGGGAGGCGGACTGGACGGTTTACCTACCAAAGATTTAATCAAATTTGCCATCCTCTATGCCCATTCAGCGGGTAATATGCTTGATGCTGTGGTAAATCTTGACTTCTCCTCTATTGCTGGTGCCTGGAAGGCCTTTTGGCGAACTGGAGACTGTAGTGTAAGTTCCTTTGGTAAACCAGCCTCGTTGATTTTCTCCTGCTTGTGGTTTTTTCTGACATTAGTAAATTGATTTTTTTCCGTCTGCCAATTTCAAATGCAAATGCGAGTCGATTGGGGCACATGGGCTTGCGATTTGTCACTTTAGACGTTACCTGACTTTTAGTGTACGGTAGTATAAACGGGATTTTCGAAAAGATAGTTTGCTCGATTGTTGATGATTGATTTTCGGTTGCGTTTTAGGAGGATTCGGTGTTTGAGAAGACCCTTTCAAAGGAACGATTGTACGCCCTATCCAAAAACATCGTGGTGCATCAATTTATTCGCCTTTACGACCACACATTCTACCAATCTCTGGCCGAGGTGCTCATTCCTAACGTCTTGCGTCCTATTCCCTCCTCCCTCACTCAGGCTATTCGCAACTTTGCCAAACATCTTGAGGTTTGTTCCACTTTTATTCTAGTTTCTTGTGCACAGTGCCTTGTTCTAGATACTTCCTTCAACTCTGCCTCATTAAACCTTAAAATAGTAGCCGTTGCTTTACGTACAATTCTAAAGTCGTGAATGAACTTCACATTTTGACTTTGCATCCATCTCAGGATCCGTCAAGGATACTGGAAAGCTTGCTCAGTTTTTGTTCCACACACTTATATTTGGCCCATAGCTCTAAAAACGCGTGCATTTTATGAGCTAATCGCTGGTCTCATCGTTGAGCAGCCAACTGTTCTTGATTATTTTTGGTCTCACTTCACTCTTCACCTAAACGTCTGCTGTGACTACCAAGAATATGAAGGAAGTTCCGCTTCTGTATGTGTTCTACGTATTCTCATTACCAATATAGTAACAGAGCTCTAATAGACAGGGCTGAAAGGATTTACCGAAAGTTAAACGGCATACTTCGAAGATGGCGATCGAAGCCCACTTTTTAAATAGTTCGCTTAGGTAACGCTTTACCTGGTACTTTTTCTAAAGTCAATGAAATGGCGTGTTTTGAGTGTTCTCCTTCTTTTTCAGTCTGTTTTGAATGATTTCCTTTGATTTAGCTGCGTCAAGGAGGCAAATCTAGGTGATTTATTGTCTTTCGTTTACGTAATCGTCCTTCTCTTGCGGACTTTAGAACAAGCATTAAATAGCAGGACTGAGTGACGTTTACATGACTAACAAATGAGGTAAGCATTCACCTCTCCTCTTCATCGACCTTCTCACAGGTGTGGATGCGTGAGGCCCTGCAAGATTTGGATCCTGTGCTTCTGCGTATCAAACTAGGCGCGGTCTCGGCTCTGGCGCAGACTCTGCGTCGCTACACTAGCCTCAACCACCTCGCTCAGGCGGCGCGTGCTGTGCTCAAAAATCCCACCCAAATAAACCAAATGCTCATCGACCTCAGTCGTGTTGACTTCAATAATGTACAGGTGAGTGTTTTAAACGGTCGAATTGTGGGGCTCTGATCCTGTAAAATTTCACTTTATTTTTATCCTATGAGCGATGTAGTTGGCTACCTTCTGTGCCTCTGTGTGAATTGATTCAGGAACAAGCTTCGTGGGTGTGTCAATGCAGCGACGCAACAGTTGCCCACCTGGAACAGGACTTCAAATACATTCTACAGAAGCAGTCGAGCCTGGAAGAGTGGGCACAGTGGCTGGACACTGTAGTGACAGGAATACTGCGTCCTCTGGAAGGGAACAACCTCGCTTATGCTCGTGCCGCACACCAACTTATCCTTAAGTGGTCCTTCTACAGCTCCATGGTCATACGTGACCTCACACTACGGTCTGCAGCCAGCTTTGGCAGCTTCCACCTAATCCGACTGCTCTATGATGAGTATATCTTTTACTTAGTGGAGCACAAGGTTGCCGCTCATCTTGGCATGACCCCGGTGGCGGTGATGGGCGAAATGGGAAGGGTGAGGCCTCCTCTTTATCTTTTTACATGACTACTAAAGCTTGTCATTCATTTGTTACGTAAGGAAAATAAACTGGTGACTTTTTTTTCGTTTCTTCTTTTAGGCAGTGACACGGCCACATTGCAACCTCTCCCGTGCCACTGCGGCCGCTCTCGTTGCTCCCGCTGGTGCCTCTACGATGGAGTCTCGACGCTCTCGTCAGGATCTTCCAGCTACTTCCTCTTCCTCCTCCTCCTCCTCCTCCTTCTCTAACACCACTGTCACTGGAAGAGGCAAGCTGGAAGCAGTTTTGACAGCTGTAAAAGAATCGGTTTTACCTCGTCAAATGGTGGAAGGAGAGACTGAAATGGGGGTTGGGGGCACTTCTGAAGCGATTTTGACCTCAGCAGCAACAACGACTTCAGACCTTGAGGAGGCCCCAGGAGAACCTGATGAGGCAGCAATTTGTGAGGCGTTCGAGACCGAGGCTGTCTTTCCACGTCCATCTTCCTCCTCACTCTCCGCTGCGGTTCGACAAGCAGAAGTGGAGACAGTCGTGGGTACAGAAAGGATGGTGGAGGAATTCCTGGACGGCGAGGAGGTGGAGGAGGAAGAGGAAGAAGTGGACGAAGACGATGGAGACGAGAATGAGAACGAGAATGCCATGCTCTGTCGTGCTCATGAATCAGCCCTCCTCAAAGCCGCAGAGGCTGCGGCGGTAGAAGCAGCGGCAGCAGCTACACAAAAGACACCAAATGGCGAGGTTGGCTTTGCAGGACAGTTGAATTTGGAGAGAGAGGAGGCTGGGAAGTGTATGAAAGTAGAAGAATCCGAGTCACAGTCACAGTCACAACATGAATGCTGTGACTCTCCTCCGCCCATTGTCGCGCACGTAGGTTGAAATCTTTTAGAGTTTCATTGAAACTTTTGCAATACAGTTATCCGGTTGTCTGATTAAAGGCTACACCGGTACGAAAGGTAGTCCGGGTGACAACTTTTGAGGAGGATGGCAGTCGGTCTACACCCGGTTTGAGTGCCGAGCAGTCAGTGAGTTTGGGGCCCTCCATTGCTTCTGCAGCAACCACCAGTGCGACCTCTCTGATCATTCCTTCGGAGGCAAAGCGTCCGCGTCTGACTTGAGCCTCTCTCCTGCTTCGGACCCATTCCTTTGCACATAAGGTGGATATGTTTCTCCTACTCCTTCCCCTCTTGGTTCCAATCCGCTGTTGCTGTTGTTGGTGTATCCGTTTTTCAACGCACATGCACGCACACAAGCGCCTACACCACCCTAGTTCTCCTTGCACATACACTCTGCACGGTATTTTGGTACCTATTTTGAAACGCGCCTTTCCCCACTCTTTTTTATAATCTTAAATCCACCCCACCTCTACCTCCCTCTCCGGCTCTATTCCGTCCAGTCCTTTTAATACGAGGTGCGCTGAACTGCCTTGACGGTTGGCGCATTGATCCTCCCTGGCCCTCTAACCTCTAAGTATGTATTATTACTACTGCTACTGATACTATGTGCATGCTACTGCGCTAATACTGCACTGCTACTGCTTTTATTGCTGGTTACCATGGCTACTCCAAGTCGACCAAGACGCATTGTTGAGTATTGCGTGAACAGGCAGCTGTCGAGTCCTTGACGCGAAGCTATAATATTAGCAGTTCAATGCAATGGTTTGGCAGTTCGGTCATTTGGGCGGTGTCATCGAGATAACAGGATGAGAGAGGCGTCCACTTTGTGGGCTGGCGCCTGTGTTTTATTCGTGGTGGCCGCGAAAATACGTGGAAAGTATCACATAAGTGTCTACCAGAAGGTAGTACAGGGTAGCTGACAGCTCGTTGTTGGTGCCGCTCTAACTGAATATTATTGTCTCTGTTCGGTTTTGCGATTGGCCCTCCCTTACATGTTACTTGGACGGCCGTGGTGGTGATCTGGCTGCACTGGTGCATCTGTGTGGCTTATATGTTTGATGCAGGAAATGGAGCTTTAACGGCGACTATGGCCAACCAGTTGCAATAACACATACAGAGCCGATCATGCTTTCCGGGACGGAGAATGGATCAGACCTCCCGCCAAAAATTATTTCACGATTTTATTTGAGGTAATCTCACAGACATCTTTGGATTACTGGCTGCTTTATTACCAAAGTGGGCTAGCACAACCTATAGTCAAAAAATCAAAGTTTCTAAATTTGCAGTTGTGTGAGCAACCGTCGCTTCACTGACACTGACGTTTGTTTGCTAATGTGATGTGGAAATTGTCACTGACTGTGTAAGTAGTACTGGGTTGCGTCACCTCCGTGCAGGACTCAATGTAGCATTCACTCCACGGTGTCATTGCTCCCATCGAATCAACATGGCGTCTTGTTTGGAGATTGAAAATTTAATTGAGAGAGTATACAAAAACTGCACCTGTTTATTGGATTTCAGGATACTGGAGTCGATTGAAGCCTAAAATTATTGCTTGTTGCCTAATTCCTAGGTAGCCCCTTGATAGCAGGTGAAGCAAATGAAAATGAAAATATGGAAGCTATTTAAATGCACTATAATTTTCCTTCGGATTGGATAAGTAGGAGAGATAGTCATGCCCTGGCGCTCTACTGGGTCGCCAAAGTCATGCGAGCAGCAAACACTCAAGGCTCTTTATAGCTAGTAATCCACAAGGTAATAACATCAATTCCGTTGGACCGTGTTGTTCTAAAAAAGACATAAGCCAATATATTGCGTCCCGCTGTTTGCAATGCTTTGGATAGCTTTCCTCGATTAATAAAACACAGGTTTATAAATATGCATTATTGCAGCTGAGAACCATAGGGCTCAGTTGAGAATGGGAGAACTGAACCGCTTTTGTTGATGTGAAATTATCTGAACAACAAGTCAACGTACGCAAATGGTAGGGTCCGACAAAAAGATACGTTTGCATGGCCTTTGACTCTCTCTCGACCTACGACAGGCTTGTATATTCCAGGCTCCATAAGAGGAAGTGGTGCGAAAAGTTCCAAACGTTAGTCTACGGGATTCGTATTTGTATTTATTTGAATACCAACACCAGCAAAGATCGCGTAGGTGTACACATTGAGATCGAGGCGTACTAAAACCCCCTTTTCATTCTTTTTCACAAAATGTATGCATACCTGCTAAGCGTTACACCATTTCTGGATGCTGCACTGACATTGGTAAGAGTTGTGAAATGGTAAAGAAAACATGTGCCACGAAGTCTTCGCTACTATGGGAGAAGTTGTGTGTCCGACCATAGTTCTACCGCTTTACTCAAAAGCTACCCAGATGAACGACTCTGCACTAACAACATTTTGGCATTAAATTGAAATATTGTTCAAAGTTTGTGACAATTGTAGTGTGCCTTAATGTGCAGTTGTTTGCTTTTTTGTCCTACAAGTAGTAATTGGTCCTGCAAGGTGAATGAAATTAATCATAATCTTGAGTAAATGCACGACTTCATCTTGCAAATCGGTTTGTATGTTGCTTAAATTTTCTGATCTTCTTTTATTGAGCTTGACTGCACGTTTTATACACCACTTGTTTTAAAAATTTCGTACCAGTGGTAGTGCCGTCGACGCTTTCCAGTCGGCGGTGATTTTCTGTTCTCTATGTTTGATGCTTGTGTATTGGCCATTATTACTTGGTTTGCTTTCGGCTTAACAATAGATTGCGGTAAATACACAACATCTTCAACATTTAAACGTGGTGGAGATTCAGAAGTTTTACATGCTTTCTGATGTTGTATGCATTACAACTTTACGACTTCCAGGGATTTTATCTTGCTAAGTAAATCTTCATTTTCTCCATCGTGTACGTTTAACGAGTCTGGGGGTGCTATAGCACTGAAAATTTACAAGCAATCTTTATGCATTTTGCTCTGATTAATTGATTTGATTTCATCGAAATCAGAGTCATTGAAGTTCTTTGGTCTGTTTTTTCCTTGAGATTCTTGTGCTATTACACTGGGAGACTTTTGCTCTTGCATTACGTAGCTTAGGCTGTCCACTCAGTTCAACATTGCTGATACTTTTCATGGTCCTTGATAGGTCTTTGGTATTCTAACTAATTGTCCGGTTTTTATCATGACCATGTCTATCATATTATTAGCATGTTAAGTACGAAGTTGTTGATCGGGAGAATATGCTCACTTTGTTTCTTCCACTGACTGTGCTATGGAATCATGACAGAGACGCTTAGGCTTCATTGACTCTTCTCTTTCTGGCATTCACAGTCGCTACATTCTAAACTCACATCTAGGTGTATTTTTTAATCTAAACTTTAATATTTAAGCAGTGGGATTAATTATAACCGAAAGTGGAGCTTAGTATCGTGCATCTGTTTGCTTTTTTTCAGTAATGACTGGGGTTCAACCCACAGATTCGTCCAAAGAGTTGGCAATAGCTCGCCAAATCCTCAACTATATCATGTCTCCATCCAACGCAAATATTGCTTTACCATTCATGTATCGGATTGATGCTCAAGCTTTGGATCTTCCTAAATACGATGAAATTGTGCGTTTTCCAATGTGGCTGGGAAAGAGTGAGTCTTCATTTTGTCCATCCCGCCCCACCTCGATCATTTCCCCTACTTCATCTTGGCCGTTTTTATTATGAAGTTCTCGACAAATTGGATCGTAATAAGTACCCAGGTCTGCGGGAATTTGTTTGCGACTTTCGGCTCATCTTGGTCAACTGCTTCCGCTACAACGGCGTCTCTTCTCGAATGGGCCGAATCGCTGAGAAATTGGAGACTCTATTTGAGCAGAAATTGCAATTACTTCCTCTGTAAGTGCTCTTCCTTTATTCCTTCACCTCTATCGGTATTGATTTCTGCCTTACCGCTTATCACGCTTATACATTTTCAGGGAGTTGCGGGCCAAAACATCTCTCCACGCCAGTCTGGGCTGCGGATCTGCACACAACGAAACCAACGATAATGGTACGTGCGCTTTAGCGTGTTTCTTTCCTGATGAACTGAGTGAAAATACCGGCCGAATTTGAGGTCAATCAAGCTTACGCGTTCCTTGATTATTTGACCCAATTCGAACGTCCAATGTTATATAGGATTCCTAAGTTCATTTCGCTAAATAATGATAATTGAGAACCGATATTTTGATAGTCGCCTCTAGCATCTAAACATTTTTATCCATCAAGTTTGTTGCATCTGAGTCATATGCACGATCCCTAGCTCACGGTGTGGGAGTCGTTGACTTCGCTTGGTTATTCGCTGGCCCTCCTGAAATACAATTTCTTTTCCAAAATCTTCGCTTAAGTATTAGCAGCTGTTCTATGTTTCGTACCATGTATCACTGTTTCGTGACCTCTGCTTGACTCTTCACTTTGACATTCTTATTATGTTTTGGAGCAGTGTTTGCTAACTAGCGCCCAATTTTCATAGGCTTCTTTTTTTACTACTCCTTTCATGATAATACGCTTTTCAACTACACTTGATAGTCTTCATTGTTTAGCACTGGAATCGACTGGTGCTCTTTGGGTTTGTGATTTTTAGTAAGGAGTTCGCGGGTCTGAGATTCGATAATCATTCTAGTCTCGTTCTTATCCGTATTTATGATCTGCTGGCTAGAATATGCGTGTTCTCTTTTGAATTGTTTATGATTTCTTAGAAATTACTTCAAGCGTTTTAATTTGTCACCCCGAAATCTCACAATGGCTTGTTTGATAGTTGTGTGTAGATCGTTTTGATTAAAAATGACCTGCCGACGCGATGGTTTCATGAGTACTCGTCAGCTGTAATCGAGGTATCGTCCCATTATTTATTCAACTGTTTTATTTGCCTGTTTCCTCGGCTCAGCTAAATTTTTTGCAATGTGTTGTGTATGTGCGATGCCTCGGTGAGGAAATCAGAGCATCACATGTATAGTACTGTGTTACAATCGAGGCAAGTTGGTAACTCAAGCCTCTAGACTCTGACAGTATTATCAGCCTAACTGAATCATTTTGGACCGTTTTGGAGTAATGTGACCATTCAAACAGGTTATGCGGCGTGGGTTGCAAGACCATCGAATGGGAGAGTTGCTTATGTTGGTGATTTGGTCTCTGACTTTCATCCGCCAAATCGATTCTTGCTCCGTACTCCCACTAATGAGGTGACAAGTCTGTGCCATCGCCAGCACCTGAACACTGCTCAGTTGCTTCCTTGTCATCTCTGCTCTGATATGTATTCTCGAGCTGAGTGCCAGTCGAACACTTCATGCTTTGTAAACTGTCATACTGCATTAAATCACCGGGATTTATTATTATGGACTCTGGCTTTTTATTACTTACGTCCTAAGCTGAGGAGTTCAGAGGCGTCCAACTTCTCAATCCTGGCTGGGTTAGGCGAAATCCGTTGCCTTATTTTTCGTAATTTAATTTTCAATTTCTATACCAGAGGAGTTACTATCCAACCTTTTTGGTTAGTGTGTTAGAAGGTGATTTTGAACCCCCAGTAGAGTTTGGACTTTAAAAGTAAAGGTATGCTGCATCAAATAGTCAAGGTTTTTCAATTCCTTCTGAAGGGTTAAAGTAGCACTGCTTGTAAAACTTGGTTACCTCAGAACAGCTTTGTCGAGTCTTGAAGCTCACAATTATGGCAAAACAGTTGATTATAGTGATATATCAGTTTAACTCCAGATTGCGATGATAACGTAACTTGACTATTATAATAGTCACATGCTGTTGCGGCTGTCCTACTCTTTGAAGCATGATGGCTGACGATCGCAGCTTTCGACTCGGATGGCCGAGTTCATGCTGACGTTCAACTTGGCTAGCAGAGGCGGTTTAATCCTGAGATTACCTTTAGTTCAGTTTCGTAGTTCCGGCGTTCCTCGAATAGTGTATTGACTGCATGTTACCATGTGATCTAGATTTTTTAGTCCTTACTTTGGACAGAAATCGTTGTGCACCTAGGTCCCATCCGTCGTCGTGCCAGTACTCGTCACTATGGCGGCAACCTAGATTCACAGATTTCTCATCCCGTGCGCGGTCTGATGGAGGAGTTGGAACACTCGATGCCGTTGCAAGAGATCGGTGGTGGTGGAACGAGTTTTTCCGCTGGTCCCTCATCCACTAACTTCGCCACCGCTTTCCTCTACGAGGCGTCGCCGGGTCTACCAGTGACTAGTGCCAATAGTTATGCTCTGCTAGTGGCACGTCTCACTGAATGGCAACGTCGGCAGCACGAAGCCGACTTGGTGGCCAGCTGGAAGGATTGGTGGCAATCAAACACGCAGGCCAGGGCGCACCTATCTCAGCTGAGAAAGTGCCCTCAAGTAGGTATTTCTATCTACTGATGTCTGTTTTGATTTGGCCTGTTCAGGGCTTGGAAAATCTGAGATCTATGTTATTTTACGTATTGCGAATGATTCTTCAGGTGCGATTTCTGTGAACCTTGTGCAGACCTGCTGGTTGGTATCGCTTCGTTTTTCCGTGTTTTTGACGTAGATTATTCGGATCTCGAAGACTGTGCTTTACTAATCACCCTGTTGTTATTGTTTTGGCTTTATCTTTATGGCTTTTGAGGATTCACTTCTCTGGTCTTAAGTTGTGCACAGAATTTATCGTCTGCTTCAGTCTTCTGAAGCTTAGGTGGTGGACCTTCCTGTTACTTTGAATTGTTCCAATTGTAGCGATGCTACCTTGTCGCACCTTACCGCATTTAGACTTGTGCCTACTTACGTCGAGTTTCCGGCTATTGGCAGCCATGAACATCACCTAGGGCGCCGGTTGTGCGACGAGGAGTGGTTGAAACTTGTAGCGGATTCGATGGTTCCTTACTGAATTGTTTGAAATACAAAGCTGCCCTACTCGTTGATCCACCTGTTGAGTCGGCGTCCTTCCTGTCATTTAAATTTTGGTAGTCATTGGTTGCCGTTTTTGATTCCACCTCTGTTAAGGGACGGTTTTTGGTAGTCGTAGCGATATCTCTCACTCAACTAGTTATTTGCACAGATAAAATGGAGTTTTGACCAGTTCATGGTCTTTATTTCCTACTCCTTCATAGTTTTAAGATTGGTCGTTCCATTACGTTCTGACAATGGAACGTACGTCTTTTATTGCTTCATTGACGATCCTGATCAATCACCTACACTCTCAGCCATGAACCGGTCAAGGAGCAAGAAAAAACTCATAAGGGCATTTATGAAAACGATCCGTTCCAACGAACTCTTCCACTCGTAAACTTCGATAAGATGCATTAGCCTAATGGAATTTGGTAGAAGCATCCGAATGGGATCGCGCTTCTACGGATAGATTGAATAGTATTGAGTCAACTACAGTTGTTTTTATTAGCGAATGGGCAACTCACCATTCTGTACTTTGCAGTTTCTGCAAGCCTTCCAACTGCTCTGGTTGATGGATCACTTCCTTAAGTTCAGTGATGCAATGGGAGTGGGCACCACGCTCTACCACGTCGTTGCAGCTGCCTTCCATGGTGACTCAGCGATGGAGTCTGCCATGCTGCCCCTAACTACCGCCTCCTCCTCATCTCTCCGTCGGTTCTCCCTCACTGAGCTCGAGTTAGGCTTGTGTATAGCACCTCAGGCCTCTCTCTGCCTCTCAGCTTGCATTTCTAGGCTCCTCCATACTCCACGCGAGCGAGATGCCGTCGATTCTGCCATTTTAGCCCTTAAAAAAAGGCAGGAACAACAGCGAATCGAAGTCGTTAACAATGGAGTAGCATCAGTGGCTTCGGCAATATTGGCGGAAGGGGATGAAACTGAAGAAACAGGAGAAACAGGCGAGGAAAGCACGCGATTAGCCAGCAGGCGGTTGCAAAACTCACATGTGAATACAGTAAAGACACTAGCAGTGCCACCTTATGAGGTGTGGGAGCGGCGTCTGGCCGAGAGACTTGCTCAATTATATCAGGACATGCCTCCGGAGAAGAGGACTGAGGATCCTGTTCGGGTACGTCGTTGAAGTGACAGGTTAGATAATTCAATGGTCCTTGGAAGTTATTTGTTCATGCATAATCCTTGATAAGCTACATAAGTGTAAAACTTTTGGTACCTGTGAATATGACGGGATTTACTTCGTTAGAAAGTGAAAATTTTGACTGCCATCTTTAACCGCTTTCTACCTTCATTGACAGCTGGAGCGACGTTATGGCATTTCTCAGACTTTTTTCAATGTCTGTGGCAAAGATCAAAGCCCCTTAGAAAGTAAACGGTTCCATGAGCTGACCGCCGAACAGCAGGCTCACATTCTATTTGCTCTTGCCTCCAATGTTCTGGTAAGCGGTTTGTTTGCTTGTTTATTTGGCTTTGTTTACTATTGTGTCGCCATGCAAAAAATGGCAGAATATTCGAAACTTCTTAGATTTTAAGCTTTCCTTTGATGTCGGATATGCCTCTCAATTTTAGCTGGAAGAAGGTTGGCTTACTCTATGGGAAGGGTTGTAGGAAAATAGTCTCTTAGAATCAAGTTACAAAGGTGGTTTCATTTCGATGGCAATAAGGAATTGAACGACCTAAGTTGAAACCTTACGCTATTAAAAGTTCGAATTCCCTTCATTTGGTCTCCTACCATTCAGATTGTTTTCAGTGGTAAACTGTAAGGTTGCGATATATACATGATGATGTTCTTAATCGGATTTTTGTGATGAGTTTTTAAATAAGTATAAAGGCGTTTGCCCTTATTATTTCCTACCCATTCAGCTTTCCAACGGCAACTTTGGACTTGGTGAGAACCTTCGCTCCTCTATGGACAAGCACTTTGTCTGGACAGCCACACGTCCCACTCTCATCGGCTTCGATGCCTTTCGAGGTCTCACGTTTTTCCATTTTCCTGAGATAATGCTTTCGGAAGCACCGCGTATTATGCAGTATCGTTTTCCCCTGTCCGACTTCCTTGATGACGATTACTTTTCTTCACCGTCTTTGGACGTTCCGACCTCACCACTTCCGACACTTGATACCTGCGTCTTGATCCCTGGTGCAGTAGGTCGCTTGCCCACTTGGATGGAGCCTGAACTGGCTCAGTTTGTCCGTTCCCATCTTTTGACCCTCATGGAACGGGAGATAGAGATGGTAGGCGCTCGTTGTAGCAAGCAGCGAGATAGCAGCAATAACCGCAAAGCCTTGAAGAAGGTGAGATCAAAGATACGAAGTCTCACCTTCCTCATGGAGCCATTCCAAAGCATCGAGAAGGATTTTAAGGCGGTGAAGGGAAAGGCAAAAGCAAAATCAAAACGAAAGAAGGTGTTAGAATTCGCACAGCCAGGTATTGATTTGAAGTTGGCCGACTTTGCATTTGTGAATAAGATCAGTTGTGGCATGGTTCCAGCATCGGCGGTGTACGCTAGGAAAGGTAGGTGGATAGTTTTTTGCATTCTATTTCACTGAACTTAGGTTTCTTTAAATTCTACGTGACCATCTATACGTTTTACTCTTGCTCTAGCTGGAGGTCAGTCGTCAAGGGGCTCTTTACGAGCCGTAGAGAGTTCTGCCTCTCTGGCCGAGTCCACGGCAACCCACACGAATACCTCAGAGGCTCCCACTCCGAATCCCTCCAAATTCTTCCAGGATGAAGAAGAGGAGGATTTAAATCCCCCCGAATCGGTGAGACAGCTCCACCTCTGCACTGATCGAATCTCTTGCCTGTCTATTCATCCACTCCAACCTTATTAAGTGGTGCAATGAATTAGCTATCTTTATGGAATCTTCTGTTTCCTCATTTCAGCTCAATCATTCCGGAGAGGAGGACGGAAATGGAATAGATTCTCAGTCTAACGGATTGTTAACAAAGGACAATTCCGACATTGACTGCAATGATAGTAGTGGTAGCACCACCAGTACAATCCCCTTTCGCGAAACCTCAGATGATGGGAGAATGACTCCCTCTATCGATGAACTGAAAATGGAGGATAAAAACGCTGCGGTAGCAGGATCGGTGATTGAAGATTCCGTGGATTCACAATGCAACGGTTTCGGCACTGTGAAAAGGGAGGAAGACCTGAAGGACGTCAGAGAAACCGGGGAGAGTGACTCGGTCACTTTTACCAATGAGCGAGACGACATCGGTGGTTGTGGTAGAGTCAAGGAGGAGATGATTGGGGATAAAAAGGCCAAAGAGGTTGGGGAGTTGGTAAGCTGGGCAAAAATTGACGATTTTTACGTGTTTGGTCATCCACTCTCTCTACCTCACCCGTTATAGGCATCATAAATTAACAGTACAAAAGGTCTCTAAAATTGTATAGGTCCTAAGCAGAGCTTCCTTCCCTTTTTTCTACAGATTGCCAAAGCTGTAGAGAGCGAGGTCGACACGAGTCACTGCTTTGACACTGTGGTATATGATCTGGAATCGTTTTACGTCTTTCAAAGCGACATTGCTTCGCGTCTTGCTACGGGTCGGCGGTTATTGAATGAGCTATCCACCGCCTGCGAAACTGTAGAGAGCAGTTATACAATGGGCACCGCCGCATCGGCTGATAATGCTGATTGCTCCGATCTCCGTGCTGTTATCGATCGAATCGCTGTAGAGTTGGGAGACGCAGTGCTGAAGCGAATCGAATCTGATCCGCAGTTGGTGGTGGCTTTGCGGCAGCAGCATGTCGAGAAGACGGAAGCTGAGCAAGTGAGTGCGGAAAAACCAAGAGGGATGGATGAGGACGCAGTTGCGGCTAAACTATCGAAAAATCCGCACAAACGTCGAAAATCGGGTCTGACGGTGAGTCTCTACTTTGATATTCTATCTTGGGTGTCTTAAATGGACCCTTTCTGTTTCAAAAATGTCTACATCTTTGGGCTGCATACTCAGTGGATTGCACGGTGGAGCCCATCATCCGGCTTTCCTCTTTTCGCAGTCTACACGACCACGTAAGTCAGCTCGCAAGTCGAAAGCGGAGGCAACGACGGGGACAGCATCAGGAGCGATGGAGGCGGAGGTTGAAGCAGAGTCAAAACCCACCTCCACTGCGCGGCAGCTTTTGCGTTTGCACGAGGAAGCATTGGCTTCATTGACCGAGTTGACGAACTCCTTGAGTGCCCTGGAGGCGAAAGCGAAGTCAAATGAGGAAGATCGTCTCGCCGCTGAACGTCTGACGGGACTACTGCTCCGCAAGGACATAGAAACTCGTCAGGCCAAGCCAGTGGAGGTCAGTTTTGGTGTCGGATACACGATTGCTAGACTATTCTATATTGCATTGATTCGTCTGATTCGTCCCAATCTCTTGTCCATCATACGATTTCCTATCCTCGCTTTTCTGAAGTTGTTCTATAGAGTCAATTTATTTCCACTAATATTTGTTCTCCTTAATTATAGAAAAACAAGACGAAACCACGGGTGTCAGTAACATCACCGACACCACAGACTCAGACTCAGTCCCAACCACTTTCCCAATCGAGGCCATCGATACCTCCGATAGAAAACCGTGTCATACCACGTCATCCTCTCCGTCCCCTTCACCCATCCATTATCTCTTCTTCCACAACCCGATTTCATCTTTCTCCGTCCCCGTCAATGTCACGCCTTCCCACCCATCCCTCTCCAATCTTTATTCGGCGTGCACCACCACCGCCAGCGCAGCAGTCAACGCATCGGCCACGAAGGATATTTCGCTTCTATGATACCCTCTTTACGGAAGAGGGACGACCAGTACGACTTGAAGCAAATGGAGCTGTAGTGTATATTCCACCAGAAAGTGTTCCCCTCGGTCATCGACAGATGGCGATGCAGATGATTGAACGTTTTCGTGCTTCCGCTGCCGCCGCTACCGCCACACCACCTTCGTGAGGGGAGAAAACAAGCATTTAAAGTGTTGCAATTCAGCTCATCGCCTTACCTACCTCCTCATTTTGTTGTAGTCCTCACTCCACTCCTCCCTTCCTCTCTCATTTCCCTCTCAATGTAAATAAAACAGTTTCTCTCCATTACCCTGTGGATCCTTTTGTAAGGTTGTCTGTCTTTCGATGGATGTGGATGCTAACCTGTCCTGGTGAGAGATGTAGTAATAAATCAACCTTACTATCTGCGTGTGTGTGTTGGTATGTGGTGGGAAGCAGGTACTGGATTGATGGAAGAATTATCTAGAACGGATAGGCACTGCAGAGGCATTACGACTCGACGATAGTCAGCGGTGGCAAAGGTGAAGGTGATTATGGGATGTCAAGCCTTTGTTGGGTCACTTATTGAGGTTGGGTACTAGTTAAGGTTTTGTAGGCAGTGCAGAAGTTAATTGCTACATGTTCTTGCTTGAATAATTTCGGGAATGAATTAGTTTGCTACGAAGGAATTATCGTTCAGGGGCTGAGTACATAATGAACTTTGTAAAATTCGGAGTTAATTTTTCGACGAGGCCTCATCCGTCCCTGAGGATACAAAACCGTAGGGTGAAAGGCAAAAAGGAACAGAGCCGCATTTGTAGCAGGAGCAGCTGAATCAGAAATTTTCTAAGCCTTCAAAACGTTCTCCTACAATGCGTAATCTAGACGGAATTATGAAAATGTTGTATTAGTCAATCATCTATATATTATACAAATAGGTGCAGATTACAATGGAAATTTCAGTCCCTTGAAGTGGATTAATATTTACAATCCAACCAGCGGCCAAGACTGCAAAGGAATTCTACATCTTGTTGGAGAAATCCACCCTTAATAAGGATATTTTGGCGTTGTGCACTGGCAATCATGAGCTATGCATGCGCAGAAGGAAGTCTGACTCTACCGAAGTGCAGTAGATGAAGGTAAAGGCGAAAAGGAGACGTGAATTGGAGGAGGTGCATTGACCTTGGTGACGGAGAATCTCTGAATCCTTCACAACGAAATGATTTAGACGGACGTCTGCACTTGGTTTCACCTTCCCGTGTTCCACAGACGAGTTATTAACACGACACCACCGTGAACTGTCTGGGAAAGTTTCGTGTCGAAATTTCGCATACAAAATCCGTGTTTAGCTGTCGGAAATGACACTACGGTTCTCCTCGCATAGGGGACAGTGGGTCGCCCCGTTATCCCTGTAAGATGTCTGTTGTAGACCAGAGTTCCACCGTCTAATCCTGGAAGCAATTGGTGATCAACAGTGTAAGAGCTGCCTGTCTACCCTCTGGTCCCTGAAACTCAGACTTAAAGAGGCAGTTCGTTGCGGATGATTTATTGGGCATTTGTTATCAGGAGGGATGGGGAATGGAATGCGGATGAGGCGAGTAGGAGATATCAGTTGGAGATGGACACCTCGCCGCCTTCACGCACGTGATCGCGATTCCAATTGGCTCTACCTCTCACCTAAAAAGTACCCTTAAACAAACTATATATATATTACAAACTGGTTTATACGATCCCGAGTCTGTTTGTCAGAACGAAAGCAACTTCAGATCCAGTTGAAGTTGCCAAGGAGATCAAGTATGGTTCCTCAGACTGATGCTGTCTCTCGACTGGAGCGGTTGGGTGGTGGGTACTTTCCTGTAGTACCGAATATGTTGTGATGGCTGGTGAGAGAGGCATACCAAAGGGGAGCGCCGAGAACGCCGCTCAAAAGAAGAGATGGGCAGTGTAATACTTTGCTTGTGTAACCGCATGACGTTTGGCGATTAATATAGGATTTGTCAGGCTCTTGTACACGTGGGCTGGCCTTCGGGCCATGTCCAAGCTCATTTGTCCTGTCTTCTTCGGAGTACATGTATCCAGCTGCACCTACTGACTTCTTATACGGGCTAGGAAGTCTCACGAAGCTACATAGTCGACCGTCTTAAATATTCGATTTTAATAAGACTAATGCACATAAATCTGAATGTTTGGCACCTTTTATCGATACGAATTTAAAATATTTGCACATTACCATCAAAATGTCCTCAAAGAAATGATACTTATTTCATTATTGAAGTTTGGTTTAAAGATAATGTTTATGGTTTTTCGCAGCACTTGTAATGGGTTCTCGAAAAATGATGATAAGTTTGTATAAATCACAATAAAACACCAGATTTAACATTTTGAGGTTATTGGGACCAGCTATTTTATTGGTGGATTGAAAGAATGGACATTTCTGTCGATAAGTCTTTATTAGATTATATAGAAAGGGGCTTATGGGCGGAGCTTGAAGGCGAAATCCCTAAGTTTAAGAGTGTTGACACTCTGTGTTTTATTTCTCACGTAGCTGTTTCCCAACATGAACACAAATTCCTCAAAAAAGCGGTTTTATGTAAAGGTTAGAGCTTAATTGGTGTACTAATTCTTGCAGATTTTCCTTTTTATCAGAAAATTGACTATGATGGACTATGCGTGGTACGCAAGTGGATTGCAGTTTGCTTTCACGTTTACATATCCTGAATTATTGTTCTTCTTATTTACATCAACTACAGCCCATCTTGCATCGCGCTATTCATGCTAGAGATCTCCGTGCCTGCGATATACTCCTCTCAGCTGGTGTAGTAGCGCTATGTTGTGCAAAGCAGTGCTCGTCCAGTTGCCATGACACTTTGGACATTTTCTTCGGTGCAAGCTCGAAATCTGATCCCGCTATTTTCGACATCGTCTGTCTTCTTATTTCTTCATGGAGTGAGTAACTAGATCTCTACTTGAAGTAGTCGTTCATTCGCTTTTAATATTGAAAGATTAATTGTGTTTTGCTTCAGTCAAGTTCCTGCAAAGTAAGTTGGGCCACTTGGTGAACTGATCCTTGGTTAGAATTGGAGGAATCCTCAGTGGCCGGTGATGTTGGCACTCTTCAAAGCCTCCTGAAACTATTCACTACCTCAACTTGCAAATACCGGAGTTATACTGACCTCTCCTATCGTCTTAACTCTATTGAACTCGAAGAACTGCAAGACTTCACCTTCCTCCCTATAGATACAGATACAATCTTGTTAAGATCGCGTCCTTGTGCTGAACCTTCACAACGCCAGAATATTTCATCTACCCGCAACTTCCTCAATATAATTGCGGAGGGTGCAGGGAAGGCATTGAATGCTTTTTTCACAGTTGGTGAACAGGTTCGTGGGGTAGGAGGGGAATCGGCCGTCTTTGAGACCGATCTTTTAGCTCGGCGAACTCGTAATATGGCTGCTCAATTGACCCAACGCTTTCTCAACCTAATGCTGATTTCGTGAGTGTCAATTTGAATTTGAAAACATGATAATATGAAATATTGCTCTTTCCCCCTTTTTTTCCTTCAGAGCCATTGAGAGGAGTGAATTTCCCATAATTAATGTGCTTCTGGACTTTGGATTCCGTCTACAATCCGTTTCACGTTCTTCCAAGCGCTCTCATACCTCATCGACCTCCAATATTGATATTGTTAATCAGAGAGTGGGAGGGAAACGTGGAAACCCTTTGGAATGGCGCCTCGGTGGTCCCAGTGGCAAGAGTTGGTTAGAGGTCGCCCTGCATGCAGATGAAGACACCCCTCTCCTGGCAGCAATTCGAAAAAACCTCTTGGGTAATGACGTCTTCAGTCGTCTTATCAAGGTACTGCAGTCCTAAGGATTTTTTTTAAGCAATCGACTAGAAATGGGTGCCGTTTTTTTTGTGTCAAGGATCACTAGCGCTGGTCACTGCTCTCTTAGTTCTTGTGGTGTTTGGCTGAGATCGAAATGTTTGTGGTAAGCGCTTTACCAAAGCTTTTGTTGTTTAAAGTTGCCCATTGGTAGCCATACAGGAAGCCATAAAATGTGCTGATTTGCCTTAAGGTCATGAGTCCGAGACAACGACAAATTTCATTTCGCTGGAAGGCCCTTCACATTTAGAAGCTCAGCTTAATGGTCTTATCGAATTGTCCAATACTGTAATAAGTCTTCATATGTTCGTGGATTTCTACTCAAATCTTGAGCCCACTTTTGTGCTACCTTCAAAATAGTTAGGGACATTTCCTCGAAATCTCAGGAAATGTAAAGATTAAGTGCATCATTGACTAGGTTTTTGGAAGCTAGTCGACATCTACTGCCCGTCCAACCGTTTTATTTCCGTAGCAAAACATAGGCTGTCATATTTCCCAAATTATCTGTCGCTTGGAGGCATAAGGAGAGGCAATTAACATCGGTCCATGAATGGCCTCCATCAACCTTATCACCAGTAAACACATCTAATCCGATTTTACACACTATTTGGTGACCATAGTTACCACTTCCAGATCGGTAGTTATCTGAGGGCAAAACTAAGAAACTGTGATAATAACTGTTAAGCTCCAGTTTGATGCATTCCTTTCAAAACTCGTCGCCTTGTGTAATCCACCAAATACAGTCATTTGTCCTAAAGTCATGATCATAAGGTGACTCTGAATTCTGCTTTTAGACTGACAGCATGTGGCTCTTTTCTGGAAATAAAGACGCCTTTATAACCTCCATTAGTAAACTAAGGGCTAAAATCTTGGTCCTGAAATTCTACCCATTTGTGGCGTCCCTTATTCTTCAGTTTGAGCAGTTGCTGTTCCGTAGAGATGGTTTGTGTTTAGCCGATTTCACTGATTCATTCACTACTTTTGCAGCTACGATTGAGGAATAAAAGTCCTTAGTGATTTTGTGTCTAGAATATTTCTAAGGATTCTCTTGTTCTTTTGAATTTTGCGTACATTTTGCCTACATCGAAGCTGCCATCGTCTGTTTTAATTTCGCCAAGCACTTTTAGTGCCTGCACTGTCACTGCTTTGGTGTCTGAGTGCTTTCGAAATATGTTATAGGAATTCAAAGTGTTGTGCCAGGAGTACGATAGAGGCGTGTTCTATTGTTCTGAGGATACTACTGGTCGGCTTCAAGGTCGCAGACTCGATCTAACCAATGCCTTAGTTATCAAGGTGACCTTGCAAGGCTCTCAGAGGCACGCACCATTTTGAAAGCGCTTAAAGCAGGTCCTGGTTTAGAAGTCAACAATTTAAAGTAAAGTAATGAAATTACTTGGAAGTTATGCTCTTCTGAATTTCTACAACACAATTTGTAGTTTCATCTGTGGAGTAATCTTTCACAGTCTGCAAGTAAAAAGGACGGCGGCTGTTGACGTTAGCACTCTGTATTCCTTTCCAATCAGATTGTCGATGGCTTTAAACCCTGATTTTTTACCAACGTTCTTCAACTGGTTACGCATTTCAAAGTCTTCGAAAATGGTTAAGGGAAAGCAATTTTTCCTTTTAGTCTCACCCTTATCAAGCAAGCTATGAAGGTGTTCAAATTACTTTTTTATTGCTTCCTGAGTGACTTGATAAACGATGACTCCCTAAATGTTCTACTTCCAACCTCGCACTTACTGACCAAAACTTCACAGCTCTGAAAAGTGGGTTTGCTTGGTATGCAATGTGATGTAGATCTGTTTGTTTCCCTGCAAACTTTCTTCTTGCTTCTATCCACTGATACTTGAATGTGTGCTATGAAGACCCAGGGGTTTCGTTCTTCGGTCTGTTTTGTATGCATCAACATTTCCTTTGAATTTATTGACAATTGACAATGACTTGCGAATCAATAAGGGCAGAAAGGGGAAAAAGTCCGAAATTAAGCTGTTCTACTTAGGGATCAAAGCTCTTTATAGATGTGAATCCCCTCTGGTGTCCTGGACCTTGCTGGTGTAATTAAAACTGTTTCGGGCAGCGTGTCTTGTTTTGAGAATGCGGATAGAAGCAAAGCTGCTGCCATACGATAATGTCAAGATCCTGTTTTACCGAGAACACCCGAAATTGTAACAATTCAACAGTTTTTGTACTATTATTTATCTTTGGCTTCTTACTAAGCCCTAATTATTATTAGAAATCCGCTTTGACTCTTGAAATGGCCAGCTGATTTCCGCAGGTCTGAAACTGCATGTGTCAGGTTGGTTTTAATTCAAGTGGGGGATGTGTTATCGCATTACTACCACTCTTGGCATATTCTTTTTGTCCAAAGTAGGCCGAACCTAAGTTTTAAGAATGCTTTCAAAACCTCTTTTACAGATCAAGTCCTTTTATTGTTCTGCGGTCCACTCTGGCTGTTTGGATATTCGGTAATTAAGGCGCCAAACTACTCTTAAGCAGAATTGAATCATAACAAAGTAGATCAGAACCACTTTAGTGACATCGGAGTAATCTTGATGATGGGGCTATTGCTAAGTGACTAATACTTGCCTTGACAGGTTGTTCGTATGGAATAACACTCGTGCGTTGAGTCTGCAGTGAATAAAACACACATGTGAATTGTCAGATACTACTAGGGGTGTTGAAGGCGATGTGGTTGAATATGTAGAGAGCTTAGACCGTTATCATTGCGCACCAACCAACAGTTGTGTTTTAAAAGAGAGGTTTTGTTATTAGTTTATTACTGGTTAGAATGGGAGCCAATCAGAATGGTAGGGAGGGTTGTGTTGCTACGATTGGTCGAGGCCAAAGCTGATTGGTTTACAAGATTTCCGCTTTTTAGGCTGGATTTTAGTGAGTTACATCATTATTACTGGATAAAATAACTGTCGTAATATTTGGAAAATAATTATGCTCTGAGCGATTGTTGAAAGGTTAATTGAAGCCATTGCTAGAGAGCAATCAATGTTTGCAAATCTGAAGTGTTTTTAAACATAAAATAAGATTTTTTCTCGGATTTCTTAACATATAAAGTAATTCTGTACTGAGAATCGTGGGAAAATTAGTCGATTTTAAATCGACCGATGTAGGGTTTCCTTTGGCGATTTCGTTTGCACAAATGTGTTAATTATCTTAAACGAATAGCCACTTTAGTGCTATTGACAACTCGGCTAATCCCCTTTCCTGTTTTTAAAGGAAGGTCAGCATTTGCTGATGCTGCCAAGCGCTGGAGGTATTCTGCCCGTGCATCTGATGGCTGCCCTTGGCAGGTTTGAGATGCTCTCTGCTCTTATCGCTTCAAACAACTCCAGGTAATAATTGCTTCCTCGTTTTCTCATTCCACCTCTTGTTATTGCTTTTTCTACTCATTCTTTCAAACGAGTGGAAATCCGTGGATCAGGAGATTGGTGAATGTCAGGATCTGTTGCTATATTTCTTTTTGATTGGAGAACAGGAGTGAAAAATATGCAGGGATGTTAGTTCAGATCGGATTGCAATTCGAGAACAAAGTTGGAGATGTCTCATGAATCTCAAGTTGTTACGCCTCCTGGTACCGAATCGCACTATAAAAGTTAATTTTACTTGATTCATAATTTGGCATTGCCATCAAATTGCGTAAGCAACACTTAGTCATGTAAGTGATTAAGTCAGCCTTAAGGCAGATTTATCTCTAATGGACCCCTTGGTCAGATCTTATTCCTTAATTGCTATGGGGACGAATCACTTTGTGTTTAGGCCTGATATTTGGCGGCATGCAGGAAGAGGATTGGTAAAGAAGTGAGAGGTGAAGAGGCGATGATGAGATATGACTTTGGTTAATGGATGGAGTGTATTGCATTGTGAATGAGCAGATTTATGCAGAATTAGTGCAATTGAGATGGAGAAGTTCGTGTTATGTAATGTGCACATATCTGTGGCAGATGGAAGGATATACTACTTGATCTGTTATGGGCCTAACAATGGGTTATTTCTAGGTAGATCAAGTACAGATTTGCATGTGGATGGGCAGGATGATATTGACGCAGCAGTTATGTATTAGGGATGGTTTCTTTTTTTTATCATAGCTTGGACATCGTGGAAAATTGTGGCTTGTCAGCTCTTCTCATTGCGTCCTTCTACGGTCACATCGATTGTGTTCGTGCTATTCTCGACTTCCCAGGCATTGAAAATGATGTTGAAGGGGATGATGGGGAGACAGGACTAGAGGATTTCCATTCTATTGCATCTTCAGTCTCAGTGTCTTTAAAGTCCATCCCTCCGGTGGATGCTCTTCGTTCTGTGAATCTCCAATGGCACTTTTTTGAGGGTGGATCCAACTGCCTCGTATTGCCTAACCAGTACAACAACAACAGTAGTAGTAGTGATGGCAGCAAATATTTCCTCGAGGCTTCATTCAATGTACTCCACATTGCGATTATGACTGGGTAAGAGATCTTCGCAACACCACGATTTGATGTACTTTTTTGTCTTTATTCAGAAGCGGATCTATCGTTTCTACTCGGTCGAGCTCAGAATTTTAGTGTTCCGCGTCCTTGATAAATCCCCAACCCCAGACTTTTTGACAAAAAATCATGATATTGTGTGCAAAATTCACCCCCCTCCACCTCCCTACGTCGCAGAAACGCGGAACTGGTAGAGTGTCTCTTGACCTACGTGAAGGAGGCTCCAGAGGACTACGCTGATTGGTTGGCAGACGCCGCTCTCTCCACCACCTGTTACTACGATGATGTCTTTGGAATACAATCCAATTCAATCCCTGACGAAGACCAGCCATTGGCAAATCAGGCTCATGCGGGGCTCCTCTGCAGTCCACCTGGTCTGGCTTGTTGTCTAGAGCATGTGAATATCGAAGGGTGCTCGGTGAGTATCATCAACTTTATTGGTGATGAAATATTGCTGGTTATTTCTGTTTATTGTTACTTTTGGTCTTGCTTGGATCAGGTGTCAAAAGGTGGTCAGCGTGCCGGTACGGAGGGCGAAGTAGTTTACTTATCTTTACAGTGTCTGAGCGGCTATGGACATAGACCAAGGATAGTGTTATGAATATGCAGCCTTTCAAATTTAGTGTAAGTTATTTGGTAGCGCATGAGGTGCTGGTTGAGCTCTTTTGTTTAACAGCTGCAACGCTCTCGTGATTTAAGTTTAGTTTTTGAGGCGGACAAGTTTGAATAGCTTTTTCGCTTCATTCATCAATTCGAGAGGAAATGAAAGCACTGTTGAGTCCAATAATAGGCGTTGTACTGAAGATTGGCCGAAATTCGTCCTGGATCTGCTTGTTATACATTACATCTGATTTCTCTTCTTGAATCTTTCAGCTCGCCATAGAAATGCTCCGTCTCATTTCTACTGTTCAGACTCGTAAGGGCATCGGTGGAAACGGTCTCTTGCACTACCTCTTAGATTCCCAACGCTACAGTCTAGTCGGGGGTTTACTTTTTCAACAGCAGCATCGAACCAATAAAACACTGATAGACTGGTCTAATCGTCTTTTGTGTCGACATCTCAATGCCGAAGCACGAGATCCGGACGTTTTTAGCACTCTTCTCACCGATTGGCTCGCTTGGTCGTCTCTAGAGGCTCTTACCAAAGTCAACCTCGCAAATAATGCCATCTCTGCACTGCCCATGTGCTTACTGACTCAGTTACCTCAGTTAAATGTAACTGTTTTTTGAATGTGTTTTGCGTGGGTTTCATGAATATTAATCTACTCGGTTATTTGTCCTCAGGACCTGGATCTAAGTCGCAACGAAATCACAAACCTTCCGGATCTTGGTTCACTGGCGTCGGTCTCCACTATGAACGCAATATTAGCTCCAAGCTTGACTCGGCTAGATCTTTCAAATAATGCGCTCACCACCCTCCCTCCATGGATTTTTGGTGGTGTAGTTGGGGCTGATGGTGGTGGCGGAACCCCCCGCGTGCGCGATAGGTTGGCAAAATCTAATGGCGGAGCTCTTGGTAGAGTAACGTTTGCCCCCCGCCTATCCATTCTTCGGTTGTGCAGCAACCGATTGCGGAGCGTTCCGCGACAGATGTGGCTGGCAAGGCGGTTGCAGTGTCTTGATCTGAGTGCAAACAATCTCACCGAACTACCGCGAGCCTCAATTGAAGAAATTTTAAACGCAGCTGTACTCCGATCCGAATCATCTCCTGATCCGGTGAGTCAGTTCTGCGTCTCGTTGTTGTCACATGCACCTCGACACTAATAGTTTTGCTAAAAACAGTGATGTTTGGCCGATTCGCAGTAATTTGACACATAAGTTAACTGCTAAAGTATCAGCTTTAACGCTACCATAATGCCTCCTGCCTTTAGAGCGTGAACAAGGCAAGGGATTTCTCCTGTCTTCCTCACCTTCCTAATAGTATTCAGCCTATTACTATGCTGAAGTCCACCAAAGATACTGGGATTCCGAGCTCCGGTAAGTCTTCCAGGCACCACATGAATTAATTTTTTTATCTATTTGTGTGGAAATATTCGTGCTTCTTGTGACTTTTCGATTCCTAAATACACACCTTTTACAGCCTCCGCAGTCATCACCATCGATGAAACCAATGCTGGGGGTCATGGCGACAGGGGGCTATTACATCTCTGGCTCCAAGGCAACCGTCTGACTCGCCTTCCACTTGCTGAACCAACTCTAACTCGTCAGACGAGTGATGAGAAAGTTCCGCATGGCGGTGTTGGTCTGGTTCATCTGGCACCTGCTCTGACTAGCCTGGACGTCAGTGGGAATCGACTAACTGGACCTTTTCCCCTTCCTGTCCTCTTTCCACCTAACCTTGTTCATCTAGATCTCTCCAGCAATAGAATCACATTCGTGGCGGGTAGCCGAAATGCAGGAGATGGTGGTGAATCAGGAGGGGGCTTAGAAACGTGAGTAAATCAAAATTTATGGCTATTAAATTGTAGGAAATTGTCTTTCACTCGAATTTGGGGCCTATCTTAACTTACTCTTTCTTCCTCCTAAATAATCTTACTTCAAGACTAATTTATACAAATGTGTTTTCTCTCAATGCGTTTCAGTTCAAACGTTGAGGAGCACAAAGGCTTAGCGATTTCAGATGGTCAGCTGAAGCATCTTTTCCATCTCAACCTTAGAAGCAACTGTATCTCTGTTTTCAATCCGGTCTCTTCTCACAATGTATGTTAATAGCACGCATTCTTACAGTCATCCATGTCCCCCACATTTTTTCTCACTTTGTAGAACCGCTAGCTTTTGAGCAGCATTACTGGCATGAAGATTTCTCATTTCCTTGCAGAGCGAGGGTGGAGGGGAGGCGTTGCTGTGGTTTCCAGAGTTGGCAAGTCTCGATTTGTCCGGAAATACTGATTTGATCAGCTTGGGAGCTGCTGTGTGTCGACTAGAGAAGCTTTCCTCCCTTGAATTGGACGGTTGTACGAGTTTGACTGAGGTGTGTTGCGTTGCCATCATGGTTCCATAGTCTCAGCTACTTGCACCAAGCGGTCATCCCCTAACGCAGCCTCCCGGCCCATTTCAAAGCTTTGTAGAGTCAGCAAAGGCTCATGTATTCTGGTGAAGCGGCAGGCGGCACGTGTTTTAGCTCCCAAAGGGGCTAGAGGAAGCACTGCCTACTACTGTCGTTCTTTTTAGATTTAAGAGAAGCTGGACTAGAACTTTGGAGTGCTACATTAACTCATTGGCTTCTGTTTTAGCTCCCTCCGGATCTCTGGCGTCTGAGTAAATTAAAGTCACTGACTCTCTTTAATACACCTGCTTACGAGCGGTTGGTGCGACAAATCCGGTCTGGCGACGAAGGCGGTGTCCGCAAGGCCAGCCGACATGCTATCGGTAATCAGCGTCGACGAGCTGGAAAATCACCCTTTTTGTCAACACTCACGGACGGAATCAGTGTTGGTACTGGTAATATCACCGCGTCTCATGCTCTGCCAGTCCTTAATACCAAGACAGTGTTGGACTACCTTAAGTCGCTGCCGCGCAGGTAAGCTGCAAATCCATTCAATTTTCTGGCTGGAATGACATGTTTTTTCCTATAATACATACGGTAGTGTTTGCAAGGTGATGGAATGCATATGGCATCACTAAGCGCTTAGCAAGAAATCTAAAACTGGAGGCGCTGTTACTTGTTTTGGAAAACAAGCCTAAGTGGCGCATGCTGTTGTGAGGCTAGGTGGATCACTAAGTTAACAGGGATAGGTTTTCTGATAGTGTTTTCTTCGAGAAGAACGTATTTGTTTGTAAGCCTTCCTCGTTCAGTCCATCTATTCACTTTACCTGATCATTGCACTCTTTTCCTGTGCCATCTAGTTGAACATAATTGAATGCAGTAGCGCTTACCTAATCAAAGCACAGAACATTTGCGTTTCACATTTCTTTCATTTTCTCCCTTTTCCTATTGTAAGCTCGAGGCCCTACAACAAAGTACGTCTGATGTTAATCGGATCACGAGGAGTGGGTAAAACCAGTCTACTTAAAGCTCTCCTTCGTTCAGAGGGTCAAGAGAGTCGAGTGAGTTCAACTATTAATCCTTTTTCGGGTTTTTTCGATTTCTCAAATGCCACTTCCTTGGCTTCCACCTCGTTTTGCACCAATAGTCACCATCTAGATCAAGCCGCGATTCATCCCTACCTCCATAATTGGAAGATTTTGAGTTTAATGACAAGTGTAACTTTCTAATGAACTGACTAGTTTACACCTTTGCCGTCATCGAACCTCACTAATCTGTTGTACGCCACATGGTTTGGCGTGTCACCGCACATCTGTGGCGATCGTCACACCTGCGTGACTTTGCTAGCAAAGATCATGAAAGTGGTTTGTGTTTTTCAGACGTGTTGTCGGCTGTTTCAGAGTAAGAAGCATCAAGATTGGAGTGAAATCAAGGTATCACCTGATATTAAATGGCAAAGTGAACATTTTCTCTCTGAACAAATAGCGCTGTAGGTGGAAAAAAACGTTTAATTTGCTATAATTTTGTGCTATTCTCGGCGCGCTTAAAGTGCTAATGCCAAGACACGCTTGATTTATGAGGTTTTTTTAGTAACACGGGTCTATTAAGCCACGACCTTGGTCGTCATCGTATTTTCGTGGAGCCGCATTCACCGCCTTGGGCGTACAAAGTCGAGACTGAGATCCTCACACGTGTATCTATCTTTCCATTCATTTACTAATATGATGGGGATCGGTGGCAAACCGCCCTTTTCGAAGGTGGAGTGCGCACTTGGGAGGAGGGCATTGTTGAGAGGCTTCGAGGGTCATCTCCAGTGCACTGTCTGATTGGGGGAGTCAATGGTATTGGTATTTTCTTCCAACTTTGGTCATAAGAATACCTATTTATCACCAGCATATCTGTCTGACGGTTGTCAATGTTTATGCAGATCCTTTTACGAACTCCATTGACACTGACGCATGGCATATTTTCATCTCAAAAGTTCTCAAACCTCTTTGGCCTCAGCGACTTTATCTTCATTTTGGCCTTCTAAAGCCTTATCTTGGCTTCCTGTATGTTCCAAAAGCTGCTCAGTTGTACAACGTCATTTATAAAAATGGTATTAATATTACCTTATGAGACCATGGTCAGGCAACCCGCTATAAGCGAGCGGGGAGGGAACCATCTTCTCTTCACTGCTCACCCTGCAGAGTCGCACATGCACACGTCGCTCGTTGCCCACTAAATGCCTGGTTGGGGAACTTGATGGAGTTGCTTTTTGAGTTATGATTCTCACCCTCCTCGTTTGCATCAGGTTGGTACTTCTACTTCTTACAGGGGCAGTTGACTTTAGCAGATGAATGCCCAGTGGAAGGCGCTCCATTGTTAGTCCTAAGAATGTTAAAGCTAATCGCTTTTGGGTGTCTCGGTGCGTTAGTCAACCTCTATTATTTATAAATAGCGGTTTATTTGCACGAGAGTAAAAAAGTGATGGCAGACGCTGATTGTTTTACTCTACTTCAAGCGTGTCACATGCGTGTGGTGTAAGTGACGATCGGAGCGTCATGTACGTAGCATTAGTGGTGAGGTGTTCAACTTTTAACTAAAAATTCGGAATAGCAGCGTTGGAGAGGTGGGGGAGATGTGATTATTGCCTCAGATTGCGGGCCTTTCATTGTTTTGCATCTTTTAAAGCAGAGGAATCATTGACACACCTCAAGCGCACCGATGCGGCAAAGTGGCTAACCAAGGAAACTCATGGACATTTGAGTGCAATAGTTTGCGCTAAAAGCTTCCTACTAGAATTAAAAAATTATCAGGTCAATGCAATCTTTTCTACTTCGCGATCTTCCAAATAACCACAATGCAACTGAACTTGCAGAGCGTGGAAAATTCTACTTCAACCTCCAGCGTAACCTTGACTCCACTTCACATCACTCGACACTGTTCCATCGACCGAGCGCGAAATGAGTGGACAGAGACGGTCAACTTCACGGTCTGGGACTTCCATAGTCCTTCCAAATCCACCCATTCGTCGTCACCTATTGCAGCAATGGTAGAGGAGGTGGAAAGTGTCATGTTCGCAGTTCAACAGTTTTCTATGTCTCGAAGCACCGTCTATGTGGTCGTCTGGAATGTGTTGGATGCGCCAGATGCTCTTCACGGGGTAGCGAGACATCTTGTGGCCATTCAGGTAGGTGTTAGTATTTGTCATGTGGAAGATGCGGGTGTAGTAAATGGCTATTATCTCTGGGTAAGGATTGCAAAGAAACAGAAACAATGCAAGTCCACCGCAACCCTCCCAATAACGCTGCAGACATAGCGATACGCGGAATGTGAAAATTCGAAAAACCATGCAGTTTACTTGATCCATTTCTGAAAATGACTAAAGGGCTAAAATTTTCTTTACATTTTCGCCGTTGATGGTTGCTCTCGTATAGAAGCCAGTGATACTCTCTATAAGTGAATGAATTTCTCCTATCCGGGGGCCTAAGAGGACCTGACGTTACCGTATAGACTTTGCTGAAACGATCAGTCCAATCGAACCACATGGTGCATTTTCGTTGTGCTCTTTCCTTCAGACCAGAGCGCCAAATGCACCTGTTATTGTGGTAGCCACCCACGCGGAAACCGTCACGTCTTTGGAGGTTTCGGAGCTGGCTGAACGCTGTTTCATTCGGTGTACTGATCCTGCCTCGATGGGTCTATCACAACAAATTGTTGGCCACTTTCTCGTCGACTCTTGTTACAATGGTGCCGACAATACCAACAGAGAGGCATTTTATAATCTCGCCACAGCGATCCACCATGCGGCGAACCATCTACGACCACCCTGTATGCAACAGATACATTTTGATTAATGTTGTACGATTAAAAAACTAAAGACAATGATGCGACTAAGAAGACTAGTTTAAGTTCGATCACTTTGTGAGACGCGACGCGGCTTAAGCGTTGTTATCAGCCTAGTGTAGTGTGTATCACTTATTTTCGACGTGTGGTCTCTGATTATGGGTTTTTCATCCTTTCGCAGTCCGGAAGCCCGTAGCTGGTGGAAAATTTGAATCGGGTCGGCAGAGGCTTCTGAGTTTTCCTGTTCCGTTAGTATACCATGAATTGGAAGAAGTTACCCGTGATCTTGCGAATGACCTCCATCGTGTAGGAATACCACCAATTGTCAGCCTTGATGACTACGTGTAAGTTGGGGATGCTTGGTGAGATCTGCGTGCACCACTCTAAGGAAGCTTTAACTTTGGCCTAGCTTTTGCATTAATCGGATTGTTTTACCTGAGCAGGAAACTAGTTGAGCATGAGCTAATGTTTGTGTTGTCACTATCTAGAACTTTAGCTTAAGCCGAATCACTTCTGTTGTTTGTTTATTATTGATACCATTGTCAAAATTTGGAAATTGTTTTGCTACCGAAAGAGTCTAATTACTTATCGGCGTCAATTCGGATTAAATCGAATCGCTGATTTGTCAATTTTCTAATCGATTATGTGATTGGTTAATTTCACTTATAGGCCAAGCTGCTGAATCGAAATGTCTCACTCACAAATTGGGTTGCTACTTTTACCCAGTTCTGTTAAAATATCCCCTCCTCTCTGTTATATCCATTTGAGTGGAAGATCAAGCAGTAGGACACACTCCGGAGAACCGTTGGTTAGAAACTAGCTTCCTTAAACTTTATAATACAATATTCTGTCTGGAAGCGAACTGAATTGCTAGTGGACAGGTGTCAAGGTCGCAAATTGCATCTATTCGATGGCTATCCTTCGATCAAAATGCTTGTGGGTTTTATTTTCTTCTCTTTCGGGTTAATTTCATTGATGGTATGAATATTGCTTTTGACCACGGCCCTTTCAGAACAGAAGTCAATAGTCGCCTGCAGACAAGCGGCGGACTCGACAGTCTCGAAGAGGTTCGCACCGCTCTGACTTTCCTCCACGAAATTGGTCACCTTCTCTTCTTTACCAATCTCACACGTGCTGTTGTCCTAGACCCCATTTGGCTCTGTGATCTTTTGGTGCGACTTCTGATCCCTCCGAACTCTGCTCCCACTCGTGCTGGTACCTTTGCTTTACGATAATGCTACAATTTTTGAAGCACGTGACCAGAGGTTCTTCATCTATGGATTGAATACTGGAGTGCTTTTTTCTTTGCTTTTCTCCCTACTTCCCACGTTTTTTTGGCCCGTTTAATCTTCCCATCGACTTGTCATTGGGTGTTGTTTGAGTCTAAGATTTGGGTTTTTGTCGAAAGTCAATGCACTTTGATTGTCACTGGATATTTAATCATCTCTGGGAGTTGTCTTAATTCTGTAGTGTTTAATTAGTCAAATGGATTTTTTTTTATTCATTGGTACTGTGTCCGCTTAACGCTGCAACGAAGGCTTTCGCCGAATATATCTGAATAATGCGATACAGCATATCGTTCTTTCCTCGGCTACAGGTGTATTGAAGCTGTCGCGTTTGAAGGAACTCCTTATTGTTCCAATGGCTTCTGCCGAGACATCTTCTTCGGATGTAGATCGTCTAATGCATCGCTTTCAGCATCTGGAAGTATCTTTTGCTCTCACCTATCTGGTTGGACTGTTGGCCAAATTTGAACTGGCTGCACCGCTTGACTCTCAACACCTTCTGGTGCCTGCTTTGCTGCCTCTCAGAAATTCATCCGATTTCTCCTCTTCCAACAGACAAGTAGGTTGGCCTTTAGACTTTCCTATAAAACATTCTAGATTCGAATTACACCATTGAATTCGGTTATGGATAATGATAAAGATGGAGAGATGGAGCTAGAAGGTCTGTTAAGAGATTCGGATCCTCTGAATTGTTTGGTTTTCACCCTTCCCCGAGGGAAAAAGTGGACAACTTCGGTTCCACCATCACGATCGGTACCAGCTGACGAGCTTCGAGACCAATTAGCCCAATCTTCAGAGTCACTAACAGATTCTCGTCGACCCAATATCTTCTCGAAGTTTGTCGCCTGGCAGGTATATTGGAAATGAAGCTTTCACTAAGCACTCTTGATGCATTTTTCTAACCTTTTAAATGTATATGTCTATAAACTATGGATTTTTGAAGCGCGTGAAGTTTGAGCTGCAGTGCCGCCTTTACGCTTTGCTTAAATTCACACCTCGTTTTGTAGAACAACCTAGTTCCACGGGGTCTCCGTTCGAATAAACCGAAAACCCCCACTAACAATAGCGCCACTACCGCCTCGTTCTTTCAACGCAGCGATCAAACACGTCGTCCTACCTCTCGAGGTGGATCGTCCGCCACTCCTGTGGGACTTCAGATGCCGCGCTGGAGGCTACATGCTGCGCTGCGATCTAATGAGGTGTTGCGTGTCTATGCGTTGGCCTATGTTCCTGCTGGGTTCTGGACACGACTCATCACTCGTCTTCTCACTGACACTGACCTCAACTCTGTTTGCGGGTTGGTCACTTTTTTACTATCTACTTGGTGTTCGTATTAGAAGTCCAGGCCACCTGAATATGGTGTTTTTTCTCTCCACCAGTTCCAGGATCTCTTAGGCCAACTTGAGACCTTTGAATTGGCAGGAGAGGATCTGATCTTACAAGTCTTGTACCTAACCTAATGTTACTGTGGTACCTGCAAAATGGGTTTTACATTGAAGGATTTCGAAGTGTTGATGGACTACTCTAGTCTCAGGATGAATGAAATTTTCCCATCCGCAAGGGCTTGTAAATGGTTCGTGTTTCGGGATCACTTTTCCTCTAGAAGTATCGTCCTTTTGTGGTTTCGTAGCACTCATTCAAGAGCCTTGCTACTGAGCAATCGAGCAATGTAGTCGTTACAAATCTAGTGAAGACATTTTAGGGTTTGACAGATTCTATGATTGAACACACTTCTCCCATTGTCTTTTGACACCTCAACTCAAGTTGATGTCTAGAATTATCGAGGCGTGGTATATGTGGCAAGTATTGTTGGACTGCAGCGTATAATGCAACCATAATTCCACCTGTTTTACCGTTAGATCCCACTATGTTACGAAAAACTTTTTCATTCCCTACTCACAGACATCTCTACAATCTGGCTACTATACCATCGGAATTGAGATCTAGTCTTCTTTGTCTGGAGGTGCCGTCCAGTACTGACGAAGGTGGCTTGCCAGCTGAAAGTCTTCAATGTGGATGGAGCCTTTCCCGACGAGGCATTAAGCTGACGCTCGCAGGTGGTGCTGTCCCAGTGTTCACGCTGGAACAAGTTGGAAATAGAGTCTCTCTTGTGACTGCTGTAAGCCTTTGTTACAAAAGAACCTATTTTATACTTGGGCATTTAATCATTCGCATGCAGATACGTGTATCTAAGCCTTGTGTTTCCCTTTTGGAAGGTATTCCAACTTGGTTTGCTTTTCACCAACTTATGCACATAGTTGTGAATTACAATTATTTTGTTATTCAAAAATAGTCCCTCAAGGAGACAGAGATTGCAGTGGAAGCGGATGAGAGGATCGGTTTGAAGGACACTGAATTGAACGAAGTCAAAGGTGGAAATGGAGCGATTGATGAAAAGAGTGCTTTGGGAGGGCTAAATGAGAATGACTACAAAAGTTGGAATCTTCGTCTCCTGCGCTTTTCCACAGGTTCTTCCGAGGCGTACAGAGAACGTTTACGTGGTGTAGCAGCATCTGATGAGGACGTGAAAAACAATGAAATAATTATCGAGCCGTTTGGTATGTAGTCACTTTACCTAACATTTGTCATGTTCCAGACACCTTTTCCAAGTACTGTCTCATCCAACTTCACATGCCCTCATTCTCGATTTTTTGGCCCGAGTATCGTGAAGTGACGAGTGGGAAGGAGAAGCCCACTAAATCCTGGACACTCGAACCTGATCGGCGCATTTTAACTCAAATCCTAACCAAGGTCAGCATTTCGCAATAGATATGAACATTGTGGCACCTTCCTCTTTACTCTCTTCGTCCTTCACCTCAGCCTTCTCAGAAGGATGATAGTTTGAATTTACTAGACATTGATATGCGGGTACATACTATAGGGGTAGGGGTGAACCTAGGATATCTGAGATGATTCTGGGGAGGATTATCTCACTCCACCTGTAGGGCATTTGAATTGAATTCACGTCTCCCTCTTACAAAGCTCAATTTGGGAAACCTGCATGCGTTAAAGGCATACAACTGATTTTCGATATGAACTTCTCTTGTGCTGGGCCCGTTCAGTTATCGTCGAGAAACTTTACTTAAATTTTGCGACTGGCATGATGTTTGCTCTGCTCTTTATTGACTATTGTGCGAACTTTCTTAAAGATTGTGCATCACATTGACTGTCTTTTACTGGATTGGTATCCTGACCTTGGGACGCGATTTAATCAATCAAATAGCGGAGAGTACCTTGTGCATCGCGTTATTCCCTGCACTGACTGCGTTCGGCCGCTGCATATGTAAGTCGAGTTCAGGAAAAATCAATTGTGTTGAAAATTTGTTAGTAGCAAATTTATTTTAGAAATTTTTCTTGTAGAGAAAATGCGGAGATAAAAGAAGTTTTTTCCACTTTGGACAGCGTTTTGAGCACTGAATCGACCAACAAAAATAGCATCGGTGATAAGCTGCTTGAAGTTCGCGAGAAGTAAGCTACTTGAAATTCTTCGTGAAACAACTTTCCACGACTTGCTTGCATAGTGCTCGCCAACTTTGGTTCTTGCCGACTTTAAAAAAATCTTTTCTTTTTAATAAGTTATTGCAGGTATATGAGGTAAAGCTGCGCACTTTATTCCTATTTAAAAAGATGTAAGCATTACTGACATATTGTCCTTTTAGACCGCACCTTGTGTATGGCGTTTTAGTGGAGGAAATGGTTCATTGGCTCCTGACTCCCGCTCGAAAGTTACTCGATGTTGGTACCGATGGTAGTACTGAGTCACTTCCCTGCCCTGTCCATTCTGTCTCCAACAAAAACCTTACTCACTGCGGTATTTCAGCTCCCGATCTTCTTTTCATGGATGTGAGGGAGGATATGCGAGTAGCAGGTTGTCGAGTGACACTGGAGCGATTTTTGGGTCGCGGAGCCTTTGGCTCGGTTTTTGCTGGGTCAGCCTTCTTCCCTGATTCCCTTCCCTCTAGCGTCGCTGCCTCTACCGATTCCATGCTTAATCTAGTAAAGGTGAATACCTACTTCTGCTGTATTTATGTAATAGTAATCAGAGTTGTAAATTGTGCTATGGATTTGACCAGATTGTTGAGAGCTTGGTTAAGGAAAGTCATCTCATAGTCCTCCTGTCGTGGATATAAAGATCCCGAATGGATAGGTTCAAGTATCTTCCTATATTGGTTATGAAAAGGGGTAGTAAAGCAGTTTCGGATGTAAGGTTTTTTTGTTGAATGGTTGGTCTATTGCCAATGTACGAAGAAGTGGGTGGTTGGACACTGAACAATAGATTTAAGTATCGGAGGAAGTGTGAGATTATGAACTGAATTTGAATTGATTCATTTTGAATTGATGTTGAATGAATTAAAAACAGTGCTGCCTTCGGGATGTTTGAGGTAGGGAGGTTATTAAGTTCAGAAAGCCTAGTTTTGAGATGACACTTAAGGTACGCACTGATTGATCCGATAACGTTGGAACCCAGAAGTTCTGACGATTTATGGGGGGCTAAAGTGAAAGTCTGGTCCTTAAATTGATTATGAGAGTTAATTTTAAGTGGATTCAGGGAGGGAGTGATAGAATAGGTATGTTTTGACCGGTCGGAGCATAAACGGACAAGCCTGTGTTGAGTACGGATCATAACAATGTCGATCGACCAGTAACAGAGAGCATGCCATATTTGTGGATTGTGAGGGACTTTTGTCATCACTTTATCGTAAATATTCCTATAGGTAACGAGTTCTATTACTGACTCCCTAGGTGAGGGGAAACTTTGTTTTTTTTTTAAGATCCCTGTGGGAGTGAAAATTTGTTCTCCCATCAACCCTGAACAAGTGGACATTCGTTTGAGTGATTGGCAGCCTTACATGGCCGAGGAACAGGGAACAGGGGCAGAGACGAAAGACGGTGAGAGTGATGCGGTAACGGAACCAAAGCACGCAGCTTTGGGTACTCCTCAGCGCTCCCACCTCGGCCACATGGGTCCGGCCGACCTTAGGGTGGCATTGGCCCTGTACAAACAAGAAAAGCGACGATGGTCGTTTCAACCAGTTGAATCGTGCTATACTGCTTACCAGGTGGGTGTAACTCTTGAAAACATCTAGAAGGTTAGAGTAGCATTAACTGGACGTGGAATTGTGAGCCGACTTATGGACATCGGTTCAGGCATTCCTTCAGTCGTTTTTACAACATGAATTCACTCTCCTAACTGTATATCTATTTGCTTTTTTTTCATCAGTTCCCCGTCTCTCTATTCCAGATTTATCTATTTATCGCGTGTACACCTCTTTTCAGATTCGTCTGTTCTGCCCACCTTGCATTCAATCATATATGCGCCCATTTATTCATTCTAATGGCTTCGTTGAATATCAACTTTCAAAGATGCAGAAAGATAAATTACCAGACGTTTAGACAAAAAATCCATAGGCAAATAATACCATTTTCGCCGTGTTCACCACATTTATCCCTTCTCCATTGATTATTAAGGAATTGCGCTATGAACTCGCTGTTCTCATGCGTGTCTGTGACGACAGTACGTCTTCTCTTGGCATTACCACTAGTGGGGGTTTCAGCGCTCCCCACGAACCCCTATCTCGCACACAAAGTAGTTTTCGCTCTCTACGACGCAGTGTTGTTCGTCGCAGTGCTCGCAGTCACACACGTCCGCGACTCTTCTCCGCTGCCAATGGTGCTGCGGGTCCAATGGTGGGCCATCACTTGCTCACTTGCATCGGCGTAGTTTCACCTCGCCCCCTCTCCCTCCTCCTACCATTGGCGCCGCAAGGTAGTCTCTCTGATTGGATGGAGGAAATGAAGAGGGTCTATGAAGCGGATGGCATCTACCCAGTTCATCAGCGCACCCTCACGACGGTAGTACATCAGGTAGGGTCGATTGAATGGTTGGATGGGTGCTTGTTGACATTATTTTGCCATCAGTTATTATTAACTTCTTTTAGGTCGCTACAGCACTAGCCTACCTACACCGTTTGCGCATTGTCTATCGCGATTTGAAACCTGACAACCTCCTTGTCTGGCAGATGCCACCTCCTCTTACCACCAACGCTACAGGGACACTCAAGGAGCGGCGAGGATGCACTCCGACTGACTTCACTTCCGCTGCCAATTTCGATGGCGGTGGGGCGAGTAGTCCAGGAGCGGTGCAAGTTGTGCTGGGCGATTTTGGGGTGAGCCGGTGGAGAGCCAGTCTAGACGGCTGTCGTGGTTACGTTGGTACTCCAGGCTTCATGGCGCCTGAGGTTCTGGCTAGTTGTGGTGAAGAGACGTACTCGCACAAGGTGAGTCTCCCATGACTGATCATGTATGTGTTTTCTTTCTTTCTTTCTTTCTACACTTTTATAGCTCATGTAACATGAAATCCATTCATTCGATTCCATCATTCAAAATGTTTGACTCGAACATTTATCTGCTTTGGACTGTCCATCTTTTTCTTACCGAATCTCCGAACCTTCTCTTTTAAGGTGGACATCTACGCTTTGGGCATTCTGATGGCTAGCATTGCCAAATTTCAACTACCCTATCGCGGTTTCACAAATCTGAGATTTCAGCTGAATCAGCACATCCTTTCCGGCGGTAGACCTACTATGCCAATTGATGTCAGTTAATGTTCCTTTCACTGATTTAAATACGCTACTTTGTTGTTATTTTCGGCATTGAGAAGCCTATAAACGATTTAGTTATCATTTTTCATTGCATCAAAATTGTATTCGCTGAAGTTATTAACTTGTGAACTTGTTAGCAGAAAATGCTCACGGCTACAATCCATTGCGCGATTCACTGGCGAGATTGAACCGGCCTGATAGACTTGCGCTCTTTCGTGCAACACCACACGCTAAACCTTATTTTTAGGTTTTGAGCTGTAGTCTGCACCGCCTTGACCTACTGTTCGTGGCGGAACTGTTGTGGTAATAAGGAGCTATGAGACTAGGTTTCCCATTCGGTAGAAATGTTACTGAAATTGCTTTTCGGTAGTACCTATGAAGAGGTAAAGCTAATAACACTTCATACCTATGTACTCAAATGCCATCTAAGTACTACACTCGGTTTCTCTCAAACAAGTTTTTCATGATCGTTTAGTCATTTTCAACTCCTCTTAAGTGGCATCGGTAATATTTCATTATTTAATGTCATTGCTACTTGTCTGGTGGTCGGCATCCCATGTAAAGTCACACTGAAAGTTACATGCCAAAATGGTCGGGGGAAAATCAGCGTCGTGGATAAAGAAACATTTAATTTAATGGATGGATGAAAAAAACAGATAAGGTGATTGTCGGAGAGTTGGAGTTGCAAACCTGGGTCAGTTGACAGACTCCAAATTTCTCCAGATCAAATCACACTGCCCAGCATCCTATCTGGATCTGATGACCCTTTGCTGGTGTCATGAGCCCCAACTGCGGCCCGAGGCCTCCTCAGTTGCCAAGGTCACGCAGGGTCCTCCTTCTCCACCTACGTCTTCCACGTTGTCTGAGGTGTCTGGTCGTCAATGTTGGCGTCAAGCGCGTCTGCCAATGACGGTGGATACGGGGTTCGAGACGATTCATAATGTTTTACTCGTGGATGCGGTTCAAATGGTCACTTGTGCAGTGGTTGGTACGTCTATCGAGGGCTTTGAAGGCATTTGATAAAATAAATTTTGTACACATAGGAGGTAGTCATGGTAACGGGCTTTTACTGTTTTATGCTACTTTCCCTGCCATTATCCCTCTGCGTTGGGTATCACAATTGCACTCGAGTGTAACAATACTATTTGACGGATTGCAAGCACATGGTTCAATGCACAAGTTAATTCATTAGCTTCTATTTGAATTATACTTACGCTTTTTGTCTGCCTTCAAAATCTTGGGCTTCAGATTTGCAGGGTCGTGTCTGGATAGGCGGTTACAGTGCTCAGACCGAACCCGACCTTGAGGTGTCGGGAGACGCGTTTTTTGAGTCTACAGCAGCAGATCGCATAGGACGATTAGTGGTGGTAATGGAAGCGTCGAATTTCACTTGTGGTCTTGCCTGTTCGTGGACGTTACGAACGGGCGGAAACCACGGTCAACGTCATTATCACGTACCATCACACTCTCCACTTCCACTCAACTTTTACGATGGAGGATATCCGGTGGCGTTAGCGGTGGATGGTGGTGGACATCTGTGGTGTGCGGATTCGGTGGGAAGGCTCATGGTTTTTAGGTAAGAAATTTGTTTGAATGCGTTTACATTTCTCCAATTGGTGTTCAGAGAATTCAGCCCTGCTCCGGCAATTCACTCGTTCATCTATTCGTTCTAGCTCCACATGTTAATTCATCTGTTGTCTTCAGATTTGCCCATTTATGTGCCTTTACACCTGGGAGTCATGGATAACTTTCTAATTTGCCAGCTCGCTCATTACACCCTGCCAATCATTAAATTGAGATTTAGTTCCTTTGCGTATTTACCTACAATTCTTTTGGAAGCCGTTCACTCGCACATCTACCCTTTCCATTTCTTTACTCCATTCCCGAAGTATGATGCACAATGAATTTTCGGGTTGTGGACTGGCTGCTTGTGAAGTTTACGAAATCTGGTCCTCCAACTAGTCGCTCCTGTCTCTCGAAAATTTGTTCATCCAACTGATTCATTCATTCCGCTTCCACCAAGTTCGACCGTCTCTACTCTACTAGCCTCCATAATAGATTCCTCAGCTCACGTTGAACTCACCTCTCCATTCTTTCACTTTTGCATCTATCCTTCTTGGCACTAGCATTCATTCGATTCGAATCACTTTCCTACTCTGATACTCTGAATGTGTGGGGACTGGATGCTTGTCAAGCCAAAAGCCATTCAACAACTCCACTCGATGACATTGTTTTTCTCCTGAGCAGCGGTTACCTAATAGATTCTCACTACTGCTTGTAGTGTGAAACAAGTCTTCAAAGGCCATTCAGTAAGCTGTTATATGTGGGAGTTTTTGTCTCTCTCCATCTGAAGCATCTCCTCGCTGTCTCTACTGGCTTGCTTGTCCTTGACAAAAGCCTCGCTATCCTCCATGGAGGGCGACTGCATTTGGATGCTCTGCGTAGGCTCCTGCTCGATGGTGTTGGGCCTCTCGACGGGATGGATCTGCTCTGCTTGCCTCAGTGATGCGGTTCCTGCTGACTCCACTGCCACCGCTCCTAGTATTGCCATTACGTGGTCATTCAACAGTCTACGGCAGAGTAGACGCGTCAGACAGCATTCTAATTCCAACCTCTACCTGTGTGGTGTTCGCGTCGCCAAAGGGTGCGTTTTCTTTGCATTTACAGGTTTTATTAATTCATTTTTTTGTAGCTACTCATGAATTCTTTTCTCCCATTTGTTCGTTCTTTCACTTTCTTAACAACTTACTCCTCCATCTCAATCCCATTTACTTGCATTCGCGTAGCATCATTTTACTTGTGTCACTCCTTTCACTATTCACCTATCCGCTGGGGGCGGACATTTTGACGTTGTCTACTCTCCCGTCTACCTATCCTTGAATGATCGTCCCTCTACATTATTTCACACCACCATCTATTTGGGCTCCTTTCCTGCTCCTTTGTCCCAAAGAATGTTGGCCTCCAATTTCATGCACCGTTTCCTTATTCTATTCCCTCATCAATCGCTCTCCGTTCATGCTTTTTCATTTCATCGCGGAGTGATCTCCTCATCTACATATCCACTCCTCTTTCGGTGGTAGTTTAACTGTCCTCCTGTCCACCGCACCCAATCACTATTCTGTTTTAAGCTATATTTTTCCTGCCACCCATTTCTTCCCTTTTCATCCACTTATCGTTTGACTTATTGCTCTAACAATCAACTCTTTCCATCAAATGGTCCCTTCTCTGTTTTCCCAATCCCTGCATGAGAACCTTGCAGTATAAATTACGCTACAATAACAATTTTAGTCAAACATTGGTTGTGGGAACTGACGTTCCACCCCATTATGCATCCTCTTTTGATCAGGAAATTAATAAATCTTTCGTTCTCCATGGTTTTCTCCTTACGATTCTCATTCATTCCTTGCATCCACCTTCCCCTCCTCCCCGATTTGTTAATTGAAATCACTATTGCCATAGTCAATAAAAACTCCATGAAAATAGGCACAACTCCATTCTGAGTCGAGTTCTCAATTCTGCATTTCTTAAGTGCATTTGGTTTTTCTTTTTTTTTTTTTCAATGTACACGCAACTGTTGGTTTGGTTTCGGTGCATCGTTTCTGCCCCAATTTTAGACTCCTCTGGTTGGGTGGAACCTCTTCCACTATTACGGAACTTCAGCGTGTGGATGAATCGGGGACGTGGCGACAGACCGCAACGTGGAAGGCATCAATAGCAGTCTCAATTGGTGGTGGTGCATCATTGACAGCAATGACGAAGGCGTCACAGAAGTCACACAGTTGTGGGCGTCTTTGCGACCAATCACCGGCTGTGACCTGCATCACTTCGAGTTGGAGTGGAAAAGAAGATTCGGCTTTGGATAGAGCCTGGGTCTACACGTATCCTGGTAAGCATTCCTTAAAAGTGGCTCATAGAAATCCATCCATTCGAAATGTCCTGAATGCTGATTCATTTACACTGAGTAAATTCATTTCAGCCTCGTTCATTCATTTCTCACTCACCAGTCGTTCCAGTTCCTCCTTACCTTGTTCTTTTGCATTTTTTATCCGCTCCATGGCATACTCGTAGCCACTCCCTCCACTGAAAAGTTAAATAATTGCATACTACAAGCCGTTGTCATCGATATTTGTCGAATGTGGTAAAAGCGCAGTAATTGAGCGGTGTGGTGTTGCTTCGGTGTGCGATTAAATGGGCATTGTCAATTTGTACGAATCTTAACCATTCACATGCAGGCTACTGCCTTCGGAGTGTTTGTATTGTTAATGCAAGAAAAGTATGTAAATCTACTTAAAAACAAGTTGGTATCAACCATCCGCATTCGTGCGTAGTGGTAGTGTGTAAGGCCAATTCATGGAGTTGTTGAAGTGGCCAAATGGTCACTAAGACTCGCCCCGGATCAAGTAGTAACGTTTAGAGAAGCAGGTAGATGGACGAATATGCGAGTCGACTGGGATTGAGTCAGGGGGGTGAAGGAGGTGCGTGCTGGAATGGATAGATGAGTAGACAGAGATGTTGCATGGCTGATTAGATAGCTGAGAGGATAGATTGATAAACAGATGGACGGATGAATGGGTTAACAGATGGTTACTAGGATAGGCGGACTCGAGATGAATAAGAATGGCTGATGGCTGAAAGGTGATACGAATGAGAAGTCGATCCGTCGTTCGTTTGCAGGTCTCTCTGTCCGGTCCCACTTGACCAGTGGGGAGCAGACGCAGATCGCCTAATTGATTGGTCAAACCTCGTGCACATGCTTTTGCTATGCTAACTAATGGCGTAGTGATTGGTTTGCTTCCGTCCCTCTACCTTTCTCATGTCTTCTAAAATGCTCCTATGCAGCTCACATTCCATAGAGTGCATCCAATAATATTTTGTTTCAATCTACATGACGCATTATGTGCATCGAATTTCGGTGAAGCTGCTCCCTCCTTGATTTGCTACCAAAAGTATGTGTAGTTTGTAATGCGTTCATATGAGGAAGTTGAATTTGTATTTCTTCACGTGCTTTGCCTCCCATAAAATAACTCGGGCAACTGATGGATCGGTGATGAGGAAGTCCGTTTCGCATTCCCACAAGACAGAGTAGTACGCTGTACCATCGTAACTCGTGGTTGTGAGACAATTCCTTACAATGCCTTAGGGCGAAAGTATGGCAACACCCAAACCTCCTTGTTACCTGGGCGAGATGTGCCTGTGTGACGATGAGCCTGATTGTATGGAAACCCAACTAGACGCTTGGTAAGAGCCAGAGGCAGAGGACAGATAGGAGTTTTGGAGGTACCTCTTTCATCGTGGTTGGTTAATGGGAATTATGGAGTGATGCCGTGTGTACCGAAGGTCATTTTCTCAATTGTTTGCTTGACGATGTCTATGTTGCGTCAGAATTCGCGTTAGATTGCGGCGCCAGAGGGGAATGCGGAGGGGGTTCTGTCATTCGTGCAAAGGAAGCAGTTGAGGAGATCACCACTACTGAGGCCGAATCGTGAGAAGTAGAAAAGGGATAAACAGTTTTAACTGAATCTGTTACGTCAAATAACCGAGATCGCTTTCAGGTAACATGAATGGCATTTGCTCCGCTGATGTCGTCCTCTGCTGGAGGATGCACACTCTAAATTCAGTGTGTAGCTAATACTTGACGAGAGGATTTGGTCTGGCAAGATTCGATGATACAACTGAACCATCCTAGGAGGAAACGGTTCAACTCATCATTGTTTCTCTCTGTGCTCAAAATTTCCAAAGCCGTTCGTGTTCTTGAATGTGATCGTGCGATGACAAATAGGAGCAGTTATTAGCTTGATTTGGCGTTCCGCTGTTGGAACCGTAAACGACCATTTTAACGCCTCCCTGCGGCTAAGTGTTGCATTTTCTTGCTCTATTTGAGGTTTCCAAAACCACTCGAGGCTCACAGCTCTTGTTCTCGTTGTTCGCTACCCTATTTTGTCAGACTTCCTCATTGACAGTCCTTGGATTGCGATAAGAGCCGTTTTGAGGTGTGGCAGATTGCAGTTCCATGTTGTGCTACTATCGTGGCAAATCACCAGCCTTGGTTTGGGGCACAAACTCCTTTTAATCTTAGCATTGCAAAATATTCCTTGTTGTGTCAAGACCCAACTTTTCGTTGTAATACCTACACAAATAACACCTGTCTTCTTAGCTCACTTTTTTTACTCCTCTTTTCCACTTTGTCTTTCAGATAGTGAAATCGTTTGTTGGTCGGTTCGCACACGAACTCCACTTCAATCCGTGAAGCTCGACACTGGGGGAGAAAATCTTCACCTTTATGACAGCACATCCTCCACCTCCTCCTGTGACATCAGTAAGACTGTTATGTCTTTCCTCACAAAATGGTTTTGCTTGTTTTTTGCTTTTGCAACTGGAAATTGCATTTCAAGTGTTAGCAATAGGCTGTGTGAGGCGAGCCATGGAAACTGAATTTGTTGCAGCACCTCTACTGACGCTACGATCTGAAAACTCGGAATCACATGCCTTCTTTATGACGGATTCACATGACGTTTTTTTTTTGGAGGGAAGTGAGGGAAGGATGATATTAAGTGAACTTGGGTAAACATTTAAATCGCTTGTCAATTTTTGATGTCGACGAGGACTGCTAGAGTACTGTCAAAATTTCTCCTCCTCTCCCTCCCCGCCCCAAAAATTCGCTCACTCAGAAATATCACGATCACGCTTCTGCTCGTGGTTATTCTTCTTGATGGTAAACAATTCAAAAGGATAAAGAAACATCTGCATACATGGTTTTTGAATGCAAGCGTTGTCTGACTGAATTTTCTACCTTCTTACGTCAGCCTCGGACTTGAAAGTTGGGGAGTTTGACAGTTGTTAAACCGTTAACCACACTTTGGTGGTTTTTGTAGTGTGGGTAATATGATTGATACCTCTCCATCACGACATCCTCCTCTTAATTAATGTGATGAGATTGAGTCTACTGTTCCTTCATTTCTCATGTCAAGTCGCGCTGAAAGTTGCCCTCTCCTCTGTCTCCGATAATGCGTAGCGAATGCGAGCCATCAAACACTCCTTTCTCTCTCAGTGCGGTGCAGCATCTATCATTGAGTGAATTTATTACTCTTGCCATTAAGATAATTCATTCTACCGCTTCTCTGCTCCATGTTTTGAGGCTCCACCTCTGTCAAATGAACGTCATGCAGCCTTCTAGACGAGGAGTTCATGCCGCCGTACTGCTGCCGGAAGAAAGTGGGCTTGTAAAGCGCTAAACTACTTCAACACTGTGTTGCTGGATGCTAGCATCCATGGTGGGGGGTAAAGGGAGAGGTGTGACGTGTCATATGGACATGGTCCATGCAAGTGAACTTGGAAGTGACGCTTTCAAGCCTCTACAAATCAGAGCAGATCATTACAGCATCGTAAATGTGCTTTTCTGAGCCCTTGCTTTGAAGAAAATAATCTTCTTCCCTCGAGTGGTCGATACTAAAGAGGAAATATTAAAATCACTAGTTTTTGCCCAACTCTTTCTCCTGCCCATGAATTAGCCTTGCAAATTAGGTCTTTTATGCTGTTCATAGGTTTAAACAAAAACTTTTACGCGGTTTTCAGGCCTTTATTTTTACCGTTTTCAAAGGCACTGAAGGAACCTTCTGGGTGTGCCGGTTACAGCGGCTTGGACTCTCACCGCGGTCAGAGCCAAAGCCGTGCAGCACAGGGTAAACGAGGCAGTGGAAGCACAGGGTTTAGGCTAGCGAAACTGTGTCTATACGACAACTGCGAAGGCGAGTGTGTTGCTGGGAGGTAGTGGCGAGGACCCAACTTCAAGTGGGCTATTTTAACAATGTAAAAAATAAGTCATGCGGTGGATACACTTGAGGTGACACTATGGCGTGGATAATGGAGGATGGTGGGGAGCGCTGGAGTTAATCATTATTTTCATCCACCCATCCCTTCATCCCTTCCGTATCCATTCGCTGATCGCAAGCCGTGCACAAGTTAGCAGCAATTTTTTACGCAATCATTTACTCTTTTAAAGTTGGCAAATTAAAGGACTTTAGCGATTGTGGACACTTTCGGCAGTGGCATATTTGTTCAGTTATTTGAGCTGGAATGGAAAATCACCCAAATCCGCAACAAGTAACGTTTATTATCCCATTGAGAGTAAAGCATTTTGACCAAAATACTGTTTCGGTAATCTGAGCCGACGAGGTGATGGGCATCACATAATGAAAACCAAGATTTGTTTTGTTATTTTTTCCCTTTTTTGAATAGTTGTGTGAGCGGTGGACCGCCGAGGAAAGCGCCTTGGTGCAGGGCCGCCTTTGGTCCTGAGTGCCATTCCTCCATTCAAATTCCACATTTTTAAACCAAATAATCGCACAGACAGTCAATGAGGGCAATTGTGGAAATGGGTTACTGCTACAGAATATAAGGTGTCGTTCATAGCTCATGGGAGGGATCTGATGCGCGAAGATGGATGGACATGAGAAGTGCCAAAGTCATGCAAATTCATGATATGGGAGTGGGAATAACTACTTCAATTGCTAAGTAACTACTCTAATTTTGCCCAATAAGGGAGTCTGGTGAGTAAACGGTTTGTATGGCGTTTTGCGTGATTGTTGTGCGTATTGTCTTACAAAAGTGTCAATCTAAATTGCCCCTTCAAGAAGGTGCAGGTGACATATGCTAACTGAAATCGTAGGAATTTAGGTTAAAATCGTCTTGACATATGTCAAACCATTGGCACGGTGGTCCACTCTCGCCTTCCTCCCTTGAACTGATCTGACGTGTGCCAACGCAACTTTATTCGGCGGCATTGTTGAAGTAGAAACTCCTCGTCCAGCATGCCCAAAGCCAACCGTTCAACGAAGAGCGGGGAGGACACTGTCAAGTTATAAAATGGTGAGATGGTAGAATAAATCGGCTCATGGCGTTAGAGATAAAATCACATCGAATAAAAAATGAGAATCCAACTCGCCGTTCTCCGATCTCTGTTTGGATGAACAACCTGAGGTTGGGATTTGCAGGTGGATTTTCAGTGCCGAAGAATAATTTTGACTCTCCTAGAAACGTTCCATACCCCCTAGCCGTTAGCACTAGGCGGTTGACAAATGGGGTGAGGGCAAGAACGAAAGTGGTCGTGGTCGGCCATAAGGGCATAACTGTGCGCCGCATGGAGTGAGTGTTAGTGGCTAATATTCCGCTAATCTCACTTTCCGATTCAACAGCTGCCATGGCAAAAACAGGACTTTCAAGTTTGTATGTTGAGGATGGGAAATTTTGCTTTTCTCTACTGGAGCTTTATGCATTCTAGCTTCGTCAATTGGGAGCGTGGAACAACTGCTCTGGACACCTGAGAACGGTCTCCTAGCAGGCACCTCAAGGGGCACTCTTCTGAAAATTCGTTGGCCTCTTCTCAGTAGTACCATTGATGGTGATGATAGTGACGTTGATGATGCCTTTGATGGACCCACTGCCGCGGTCTCCTCACTCATTACAGCCCAGGCTCTGCGTTTGCATCGAGGACCAGCGGAGGCGTGTTTTAGTCTCTTGTCGGCGTCTTTGAGTCTGGGTAGGGGATTCGTGCATCCACTGCGTCAGTGCCTTGCAGAATGCTCTCCAGATGGCAGCTCCAACACCGCTATCAACTCCAACGCTTACTTTCTTGTCTCGTTCTTTCCTGATGACGGCGCCTACTACGTGGGACAGTAGAAGACAGGACCACTGTGATTCCTCCTTGTACAAAGGCATTAAAACTTGCATTACTGTTGCACAGTAGATGAATTTCCTCAGGCAAGTGTTTGCAGCTTCTCTTCAGAACTTGGTCATGCCTCTTTGAATGCTTAAGCCGGACACAAATGCCCTTGCCCGCGAGGAATTGGAGCCGAATCTCGACTTCACGAATGGCTTTGCAATATGTGAAGTTTTATTCAAATGCGATTAAAGTGGTGATGAACAGAGCTACTGGGTCCAAATCCATGTCTCGGCAATGTTGTTGGTTGCATTGCAACTTTTGCATGTTGCCGTATTTTGCTAAGCGTACAGTGAGACTTTCAAATACAACGAATCCAGACTAAAAGTTGCGATACAATTTACGTTTTAATGTGGTTGACACAAATAACATCACCATCCTCATGAAGTGACAACTTCAGCAAGCTGAATCGAGCTAAATGACGACTATAAGAAAGGACAGTTCGCATTTGGAGACAGATTTGTTGAGTAACTCTGCTGGCGCAGATCTCAGTTGCTGTCGAAGATGGTGAGAAAATGTCTGCTAGCTGTACTGACGCGGTGGTGCGGAACTATTTGGATACCTAGTAGGAAATGCAACTGGAAAGAAATGAGGCTGTGCCGCTGTGGTGCGGAGGAAATTATGAAATTGTGATCATTAAGAAAAGTGCTGGTACCGAAGTAATGCCATAAGCCCTCTAATCGACAAACAGTAAGCATAGGTTGCATCTTTTATGCAGTCAGATGACAGATGCTTGCATGAGCGTCATGTGCTTTTGTCGCGCTCTATGCTGAGTCTGTCGGCTTCACTAATTCGTCCTCATTTGGCGTAGAGTGCGGAGTCGAGAGAGTCTGGAATGGGGGTTCACTGCTGGAGTCTCCTGGGGTCAAGGACTGTGCTACGTCGACGAACAAATTTTAATGAAGAAAAAACGTTTTGCTATTCCACATTAGCTATTTTTTGCTCGAAAATATTCACTTCCATTTTAATGATGATTGGCACGGGAGGTGTGAAAACTGCCATTTAAAAGTCTTAATTGTTAGGAGTGTCGGTTGCTTCATGAGTGATTCTCGGAAACTGTCGAACTCTAACCACCTTGGCTACAAGACCACGTCCCCAGCTCCTGAACAACGAAGACTGCGTCGAACATTCCTCCAGCCCCTTCCCTCTTCAACTGGTGCATTATGCCATTCCATTCGGTTGCGCTAAGTCTCACAGATAATATTATTGTCATGCTGTGTGCGGCAGGAAGCCTGGTTAAAGGTAAGAAAGAAGCCAAGAAGGGAAGGGAAAGTGCGCGAGAAGCCAACGATGGCAGTAGTGATATCGATGGAAAGGAGGGAAGAGGATAGGGTGAAGTAGAATGAGGGGAAACTGCAAGGACACCGAAATACTGCGCTACAGTGGTAGAGCTGAGAATAACAGCTTCACCATCTGCATAGTTCATCGACTTTGCGGCCCTGACAGGGCACAAACCTACAATCTTCTGAGGTGGAACGCCTTATCTTCTATACATTGCCGCCATCATCATCTTTGACTCCTCCTTCTGGTCCAATAATCCTCCTGCACACCATCATTCCATCAGTCCACTCGTTGCATTAGTTGTGCAGTATTGCCAACATTTCCGTGAGCTTAAGCCACTTCCCCTTGGCATGGTGAGTTTGGTTGTGTAGGCAATCGGAGAGATGGAGTTCGACTGCAAGGAATTCATGCATGTGCTTTGCGGCAGTCGTGTCGCCGCCCAATCAACTGACTAGCTGGTTACTCAGCCTCGACAGGTCAGAAGGGGAAGGTAATGGTCATCGTCAGTGGTGCAGCATTTCCATCATCTCTGTAGGATGGAACCGCCTCCTTTTGGTTTGGTGGCTGTGCACAACCTGTGATCCACGCCTTGATTACCATTTACGCGGTGTTATAACTTCAATCTCTCTGATGGTACCAAAGTAGTGCGTAAGTAGTCACCAACTTCTGTTCACACAATTCATTTCTGTCTTTCCTTCCTCACTCCCCGTGGTTTTGTGTGTTCCATCCACTTTGCTTTCACTGGCATCGTTTGACCGATGTGTCGATCCATTCCATCCCTTATAACGTAATCTGTACCTTCGTTGCTAAAACTTAACCAGTAAGTGACATGTTTTTTTTACTTTCAACACGAATTTTCGAGTCTCTAGACAACACTGTCTTGAATAATTCGAGGAACTTGAAACAAGCCGATCTTCTATGCTTTGAAAACACTTCTCATCTCTACGTAGTTTAAGCATTTTGGATCAGTTTTCCTGGTTAGGTAGTCCATTTCCATCCAATTCATTCTTGTCAACGATTTATGTGCACTGCGACCTCAAAATTCGACTCTCCCAGTGGTTGACATGGGAGGTGGATCTAAGACAATAAAATACTTTTCTTAAAAAACAGTGACTTCCACAAATGACTTCTGTAAAAACCTTTAATGCACCGAAATGCTTTTCCAATTATTGAAACCGATGCGAAACGCTTTTTTGTCATTCAATGAAAGTCAACTTAAGAGGGAGGCCAACATGGAGGTAGTTTCGACTGATACGCATCAGATGTGGTCAAGGTGGTGCTGCGTTTCCCCGGGTTGGAAGCTAAAACCCATAATATGTGTGCTTTGCGATAAGGAGTAGTTGCTTCCGGCTTATTCTTTATGTCAATTCCTGTGGCTTTTTTTAAAAAAGTCGGTCCATAACAAAAGAACTTCTTTTGCAAAATAAATAACTAATGTTCTGTTGTGTAAAATATGTAAAGAAATAACCGCCTTTGTAATCTGCTCAAAGAAGGCCCTACAAGAAAAGGAAAATTCATTCGAGGAAGTTCTTTTTCATTGAAGTCTGCTTCGAACACAGGCTTAGCAGTTACAGTGTGCAAATAAACAAATCCCTTCTGCAGTTTCGTGTTTATTTAGCAATGTTTTGTTGAAGAAGATATATTCAGTGTACTTTTGAGCTTCTTCTCTCACTGACACACAAATAGGCAAGCCCAGGACTCTGAATCCCTCCCGTGGAGTCAGTGATTTCCCATCGCATAAATGGAGGCACAGAACCTTGGATAAGAGTTTTGATCACTGCTTACTATAATGATGGACTAAAGATGATTCAAAAAATTTTATTTACGCCACTTCATTTCCTGTTGGCCAGTGCATGCGAATCGATTTTCTATTGGTTGTTCGTCTATCGACTTTCAATTATTAATCGTGTTAAGATTTTGCCCACTTTGCATTAATAGTGCAGAGTCCGGATCTTATGCGTAGTAATTTCTATTTAGCAATTACCATCAAAGTTGAAATTATCCGTGTTCCGGAATGCAACAGTCAATATGGCGAGCAGATCAGAATTTTATGATGGTCGCAACTAAACTCATCTTAGTTACTGCAGGGTCAGTCGTCGGAAGCAGATCTGTGGACAAATACTAACAAATGTCTTTTGTTTAACAAGGAATGCAAAAGGATGAGATCGGTGTGCGACGAATTAATTAAAATGAGAAGACAAAGTCGCGTTCCAACTGAAAAAGCCTTTTAGTCACAAGTTAAGGGAAGAATGCATGTCCTTTTGATATTTGGGAAATCCGAAATATTGTTTGTAATTAAAAGATGACTGTAAACGGACAAACGGATTTATAAGTTTGTTACCTCTTTAAGTTACCGAGGTTCTTGTTAAATAAATCATGCATTCGCAAAGCTGATAACAAAAAAAATAATTTTAAGGTTCATGCAAACAAGTATTGGAAATAAACATGGGCAAAGCTACGTGATGCTTGGTTTATGTGCGCCATAACTGCAGCCTTAAAGGTAGCTCAGTTTCTACAAGTCTCGTGTTTGGTCCACAACTCCCTAATTTAAAGCCGAAGACGGTGCTGCAACGCCTATTTATTAGTATACTCAGTTTACTACCGTCCCTGGTTTCTAAATGTCACCTTTTAACGATGAGGAGTTTGAAATGAACTTCTTTCGTTGCATTTCACAATTAGGATTTTAATAAACCTTAGAACAAAAGCAAAATAGCAAGAATATAAGATTCCATACTGTTTTTTCTTATTTGCATTGTTCAAGCACTTCTTTGTTTAGTGCTTTGCTTTTTTCTCAAATTTTAAAACAGGTGGAATTACCTTAGCAATCCTTAAAAAAAAAGAGATTCCAAAGACTTAAAAACCTTTTCCTAACTTGCATGCATAACTTCGACTACTCGTTATGATTGGTTCATGAGGCCTCGGGAAAGGCAGGTAGAACACCAATGAGGCATTTATAGGTGAGAAATATTGTGCAAAAAAATTTATACTGCAAACAGATTGTAACCACCGAATGCGTCCAATTTAAGTCCTTTAAATGATGACATCGAAGACAAATCTCGTATAACAAGGGGAATCCTAAAATTTCACCAAAAAATGTACCGCTATCTTAAATTTGATCTCTTTGTCTTTGATTCTCCATTTACTAAAGTGACTGTTGAACGCACACTACTTTTAATGATTGCTAGCAGACCTGTTTCCATTTCTCAAGATACAGCCCGTGTGCCACATGCTAGGAAGTAAGTGGTACATTATTGTTCACGATTTCACGCTATTCTCAAACCTTCGCATCCTTACCTCTCTACACAGGAAAAATTTTGTGTCAAATAGCCAAACGCATACTCTGATCACGTTATGAGCGCCTCTCGATACTACTTCAAGCAACACGGACCCACCGCCATGTCATTAAGGTCGTATTTTGCGAGCCATGGTGACTGATAATTCAGGTAGTTAAATAAAACTTTGAGGTAAGATCAAGCCATTTTACCTTAAAATTTCCGGAACCTGAATGCACGACATGTAATTGGAATTTCTGAATTTCAGTAAAAGTATGCATTAAAATAAAGGCAAATAAGTTTACAGCACTGCTGAGAAATGCGAATTACCAAGATAGTTCTTGTAGGCTTTTGCTATGTGCAGGGACTTAAATTTCCAGGGACCCTTTCTATTTTTTAAATGCAAG